GGGCAAATTTCAGGAAACGGTATCACCCTGCTGCTGCCCACCTAGCACATCAAGGTGAGTCGGCCGGGAGCTCACATGTGGTGGGGTAAAGCGTGGGTACTCCCACCTAGGCCAAAAATATCTTTAAGATGGGCTTTCTCGAGCTCCCTCTCGCGGAGATGCTACTGACAGCAGTGGTGTGAGCATTAGTTACAAGGCTGCACCTTTACCCATAACATTCATTACACATCGGTTCCTAAAAATCAAAACTGTTATTCTCAAACCCGCCAGTAAGAAGGGGCTGTAATAGTTATTGTCCAAGAGGGTGTATTTATTATGGAACATAATTGGTTAAACAGAAGTGCTGTTTGCAGGCCGTTAGTAAGTCCATCCAACGCGATGCACTTGAGATCCTAGTATGTGATTCAATTTGGGTATGTTTTAATAGACTTCACCGAATGATTAATTGATGTCACAAACCAGCATTGTGAAGGACTAAAGAGTCCCTTCCAGTGCTGGGTGAGCAGACGTATTTCTGCGGGGTCATCGACTGAGTCCATTCTTTTAACGATGTGATGCTTAGCTGCCTGAAGAGTTGGATTTAACGACAAACAAAGTTGTTTCTCACAAAGAGCAGCAGAAAGGCACAACGCCCATCACGCCTCACATGCGTGTCACATGACCACCACATTGCATGTACAAGGCTCTCATCCTATCTAATGAAAACTGCAAAAACAAGTAAATCACAATTACATGATGCTAGCGCCAGCTATTAAAAGTTTAGTTTTTTTTACTCCGCAGTGGAGAGATGTTATCACCCTCGCCTGGTATGCAGGAGGTTGTGAGTTCAATCCCAACCCTGACGCCTGTATATTTGGAGTTTGCGTGTTCTCCCCGCGGGCGCGTGGATTTTTCTCCAGGTCCTACAGTTTTGCCATGCACATTTAGAAACATGCGTTTCAAGTATCTGGCTGATATAAATTTCCACATGATAAGCCGTTGAGCTATAATTTGTGGCCAAAGAGCTTTTTTAGCTCAGTGGGCCTTACCTGGTAAAATAAAAATAGTAAATCGTAAAATATATAAAATTTATTTTAAAAAAATAGGTTATCCTGCCCAGTGTAGAATTGCCTCTCAGGATCATCAACAACAGCAGCCATGGTCAAGCCACCTGTTGTATAATGAGGCCTCCCTAAGCCATCGCCATCTCTCACGATCCCGCAATGTAATAATCCACCTCGCACCTTCACGAAAGCTGATTTGATCAATACAGCTCCTCGGTGGACATCCTCCCGGGTGCATTTCATTCAATAGGGTGAGTTATTAACTCCTGCCTCTTATAGAAACCTAGTGAAAAGCACAATTTGGATATACCCTTGACACCCTTGCGAGGGAGACGTTCCATCTCAAAGGATTATCTAGGTATAAGAATTTTTTTTTAAACCTAATAACAAACGATGATAAAGCTCAACAAATAAACACTGCTAGTCCAATATGAAAAATACAGATTTTAAATAACAACTGCTATATCACAAATTGGTCTCAACTTAGTCAAAAATATAAATTGTAAAGTAGATCCCGTTCATTATATTATCAAACAAGAATCGATTTGTTTCTTTTGTGCAGCCACTGGATTAAGAAGAGCACCACAGAAAGAGCAGTACCAGGCATCCCCAGAAGCTGACCATGTTTAACAAGGTGGGGGGAGGGGGGGACGACATACAACAACTCAGGGTGAGCGCACACCACAGTGTTCAACAAAGTGTATTTGATTTTGATTTATAGCTTTCGTGACTGCAGGGATTCATATTCCTGGTTCTTTCGGTAAAGTCACGTAGAAGGGAAACAATAAAATAATAAAAAGATAAAACAATAAAAAGTGGATTTGGTGGTTACACACCGTACAGAATTAGTAATGCAGTGATGTGCCTGTTGCCTATCGTGTATTTTGCTGTACCTCTCACCCCGTGTGTGTGTATTGCAAGGCTTGGCACACATTGCTTAATTGTACCCCCCCCCCTCCCTCCCAGACAGTTTGTATATCATGGAGTGAAGTTTGCATATTGATAAAAGGGGGAATAAGCCCTCAGCAGAGGCACAGAGTCCCCTCGAGTTAGGTCTGATGATACGAGGCTGGTACTAAAGCCCTAGTGAAGCCCATGAGCCATCAACACAACGTCGCCTTCTCTCCCTTGTTCCCCCTGATTCTAAACACAGCTATTCGTCCAATGTCCTTTAGTATGAATAAGTTAAGTAAATAAATGACCCTCATCGATGCATTTCAAGAAAGAAATCGTCACAAAATCCTTGTACTCTATTGACTTTGGTTCAAAGTAAGGTGGCAAAAACAGCGCACACAATTGTGGCTGTTTATTTATTTTTTATAACAAGTAGGCTCTCGCGACCAATATTATTCATGATAACGTTTTTTTGGGTTAGATCACGTAAATATAAATGTGTCGTAATCCCACCTACAATCTTGGCAATGGCCTGATGAAGCTGGTTGTAATGACCAGTGAATAGTTGGACTCAAATTGTAAATGTTGTGAGTTTACTCTCTAACACACCGGTGGTGCTGAAGTATTAACAAATTTGGCACGTTGTTTTCACGTGCCAACCCCTTACTAATTCGCTGTGTCGACAAATTTGCATGTACGTGATCTAACCCAAAAACCTTTCTCGTGATTTTGTTAGTTTACCATTAGTTCACTTGTACAAAAGCATTGCGGTAAAGCACAAATGACATGTCACTATCAGAACCCTCTCCCTATTTTCCCCAACCACTCCCAACTACCATGCCAACACACATTTACTCGAAACAAAGCATTGTGACAACTTATTACAGACAGAGCATTGCCTCCAGGGTGAATAATTATGATCGTTATTACATGGCATTGTTTTTTAACCATGACAAGAGTGGATCCTCACACCATTTTATGCTCTCTAAATGTCTCGTGATTTATGACATAATGGGAGAGTGTGACTGTAGCCCCAGGCCAACTATTCTCCACGCATTGCATCTCTTCAGTACAGCTACCAGTGGGAGTGGGGGAGGTTTTATTTCTGTCTCGTGTCCCTCTGCATGTGAAACCACATCAAACGCTCTGCTTAAGCAACAAAACCAAAGCAGTTGAAGGCCTGGGGGCTGGGATTTTTTGTTTGTTACGTGACATAATATGGGTAACATGAAAGAACATTTCTCAATACCACTAAAACCATGGGTTCTGAAATAAAATTATATTTCTCTTTTTTAAGACAGGTTACTATCTGCAAAGCCCAAAGTTCTTCAAGGACAAATAACTAAACTAAAGCAATACACGTGTTAGCCATTGACCTTAGGGGGAAGTGACTCTCTCCCTCCACAATGAAACCCTGATTCCACAATTTTCCATAATGAATTCTACCCAAACCAAAAAGCCTTTGTGCACATTGGGATTGGAATATTCTCTCAACACATTACAGCCCTTCCCTATTGTACAAAGCACTGCATGCGTATAATGCCTGCAGAATCAATGCCGCCCATCACCTGTGGCAATTAGTCAGCAATTTTTCTCAACAAAGCCAGCTGTACATAGCACTGAGTTGGATGTCACGATGCATGTAAAATAAGGAATAACTGAATTTAATGACCTATAAATGTTTCAACGATTGATTGTATGCGTCATTCCTTAACCAGGTTATCTCACTCCCCATTTATACATCTCTGGTTAGAAATCAAGGGTGTAATTTAATTGTGCATATGACGGATCATGCCAATTGCTGGGACATATTAAGAAACTCTTTTTTTATATTGTCACTGACACTTATTCATGCTGCACACTACCTCTTAGGAAAACGATGGTGTGTTTGCTACAGTGGTTACTGCTATTCCAAACCCCGTCCCACTCGTTACATGAACTCGGGTTTTCACCTCCGAGGAACACAAAACCAGGATCTATCATGAGCATGAAGAATATCTGACAACACCAAAACAGAGGAAAGGTCAATGTCATTTTGGGACTGACAAAAGTCCAGGATGTTTAATGTCTTGGGGAGACTTACAGATGTTCAAGGACCGGTGCCTCAACATGAGAAAATACAGGACAAGTGAAAACCCGAATGTGAATGTAGTACTCGTAACTTGAAGCAGATTTGCCTGCTCTCTCCGTCGTAATCGCGCTCGACAACAAAGTACCCAAGAGAGGGTGCTGGAACTGGCTTCAACACTCTTCAAAACATTGATACACCACCGTGCTGCAATCTCCGTTTAAAAACACAAGTGTCAGTATAAATCTTGTCCAGGATAATTGTTTTTTCCAGGGAAGGGCCAAATTTAAAGATGCTTGTTTTTTTGCATTTCAAAATTCGATTTCATATTTGGATACCGTGCCTTCAGATACTTCGGATACACACTCCTGCAAGCCGAGTATTTTTTTTAATTCAAACGTCCGTTCCGAATGGAAGACCAATGATGGTATTTTGTAAAGGTGTGAGGAATTTCTTCTGTAGCCACAAGCAGCGACTTGACAATATTGACAAATGTCAAGTTTTGTAACGCTTGCGGCACATCTTGATGTGTGTGGGCTGGACAATGGTGCGTTGTCGTTAACGGTGTCAGTACGCCCTCTTGTGGCTGAACTGGACAATCATTCATAACCCTTTCATGGCCCGGAGCGTTCGTACATTGGAGTGCTGGGCCCTCAATGATTTCGCTTGGAAATTGCTCCGTTCCTGATTTATGGCGATTGCTTGCAGTTGCGATCGAAACGTCGTGATCTATTATTTTTTTCTACCTACGTGACTTTACCGAAGGAACCAAAGAGTATGGATTCCTGCAGTCACGAAAGCTTCAAATCAACATTGAAACCATTATGAGTTATGGTACCATTGCATTTGCGAGTGCCTGCCCGGTAAAAATGAAACGTTACATTGGGTCAACGGTTCTAACCACACATGCACGGCGATTGGCCCAACTTCGGCATGTTGACTTGCTGGTGGAAATAACCTGACAACGCCTCTAGGTGGCGGTAAACCCGCATTTTATACATATTTGTCGGGGTCTTTTTATTCCTTCGTTACCACCCGGTCACAGGAAATGACAACATTCAAGATATCCATGCAACACTGACGTGTCCGCGTGCAGAATAATCCGTGTGCTGTGTTAGCGCGACACACCTGGGATTTTTATAACAGCTCCAGGGCTGTGTTAAGATTTCCGTTCTCAGAGAGACTGTTATCGTTACTCGGCAATATCGCCGAGTTGATCTTCGTTGTTGCAATGCGGCGCAGCAGTGTCGACCAGAAGCAGGACAGGCGGACAGACACAATGAACGGCGACGCCCATCATTTGACCGGCGGAGATGATTGTTGTCGTGAGGCCACGGCCGTCGCCACCGCCACCACGACGACGGAGAAAAAAGGAGGAGTGACGCGGAGGGCATGCACTGCAGGGCAGCCAAAGGATCGGCCTCCTCCAGAGAGGACCACCATCCCAGCAGGGGCGTCGGGAGCAACAAAGCCATCGGCGGGGGAAGGAGCAGAGGTCAAAATCGTGGAGGGAAAAGGCGCAGGAAGAGGGAGGGCATGCCCTGCAGGGCAGCCAGAGGAAGGGCCTCCTCCAGGGAGGACCGCCGTTCCGGCAGGGACATCGGGAGCAGCAACAGCGACATCAGCGAGGGCAGGAGCCGTGGCTAAGAAAAAGCCGGAAGCAGTGAAGGTCGTATCGCGAAGAGGTGCTGGCTGATGAAATGTGCCTTGATCTCTAGTGCATGACAATACATGGCCTGCTTCAATGGCACATTGTGTTGGGTTTTTTTCCCTCCACGTGGTAGTTGCAGTAATTATTGTGATGCATTCAGGGCTGAGGCCGTAATTTCTCACGGAATAATTTCCGGGGTCCTCCAAACCCCTGGCAAATACTGTTTTGGCAGCGGTTTCCAGAGCTCAGCCCCAGACAGCTCGGACAGAAATGTATTCCTGGAAGCATGGGTTTGGACCAACCTTGGATAATGCTTTTCCGTGAAGCAGTGTTTATGTATGTCACAAGAAGCCTCTTTTCAGTGGTGGTAATTTGTGTTACTTTTTGGGAGGTTCGTCTTACTGGATATCACTGCGTATAATTTGCGACAAATTAAACACTTTGAAATTGCGTTACCAAATGAAAGTACACCCAGTGGGAACCTAATGCTATATTTGGGGGTTACGCTTGTGCACGGGTTTTCAAGGGTAATTGACAGTGGAACTTGTGGATCTTTCAATGAACGTGGTTTGGGATAATTTCACCTCTAACTTGCAATGTATTAATTGCTAACGCAACGCTTGTCAAATAGCTGCCATTTTAATTGGTGACGTGTCATGATTTTAATTGTATTAATTAATGTTGAGTACAAATTGCTCCCTCCGTAAAAAAATCGCTGCCAGAGAGTACTTGTAGAAAAGAACACATGGTTCTTCATTGTGTCGAACCCATCAGAATAAAAACAAGGCCCTCTTTGTGAGAAAGCTACACAATGCCTATACAATTCACTGCTGAATGAAGGTCTCTGCATACCTTTTGGTCACGGGGGTTGTTTGACCTTCATTCGCTGGTAAATGCGGAGGGGCAGGGGTCCAAGACCAGTTTGGATATGACTCACCACTCATGTTAACCATGGGCCGGACGAGGGCCGGCAGGTTCAACAGTGCAGTGCACTAACCACTGCAGCACCACTCTCCACCACAAAATGATCCACAAATAGGGTGACATTATTGGAAATAAAACACGTGCACAGAGTTCATATTTTTCAACGTTAGCTTGCGTGGCTGTTGCAAAGGTTAATGGTTTTAATCCAGCGGCTGCCATGATTCTCGCTGCGGGCATACCGACCCCAACAATACGCTCCATCCGTTTCACGGTGGACCTTAAAAGATCCTCCGTTGTCATTCGCAGGAGTAGGCCATCGTGTGCCCGCGTCAGGGTTCGAATTTGGCAAATTATAAAACTGCAATTTACCCAAGAGGAATTACAATATAAGCAATCATGGCCCTCCCTACTGGCAAACGTGTCCATTTGCAGGCCGGCTGCTGAGCCACCTTGTACCCACACAGACAGCTGTTGAGATTTTGCGTGAAGCACTGTGAGACGACCTGGCATAAATGAGAGCGCTCTCTTCAAAACAAATTATCACTTATTTTTATTCGTTTACTTTTACTTGCATGCCTATGAGCCTATGACCATGCCACCAGGAATTTTCTTGATTTTGTCAGATCTCTGAAGATAAGCAGGCTGGAGCCTGGATAGTGCTTTAATGTGTGACCACCAAAGGCTGACATAGGCCACAGGCCAACGAGGTGGGCAGCAAAGCTAAATCCTATTTACCGTGTGTACTTCTATATTCCCACATGTACTCTGCCCGCCTTCACCAACCCACGTTGACGAGCATGGTGAGTGTGGTCATTTCACCCCACTGGCATGTACGGCATGGGCAGGCCCACATTCACCAGTGGACTGACGAAATGGCTTGTACGTTGTATATTTCCCCTGCAGCATGCTCTCTCGCGTGTGTCGCAGGCTACACTGGCAGAGCTGTGATCCCTGCACAGAAAAAGGAAATCGTGTCTGTCGCCAAGGCCATGCATCAGGAAAACTTTGCGACCAAAGTGAAAGAGCTCTTCGATCCAGAGAGGGAAGCCACCCTGCAGGCTCTCAAGACAGGTGTGACAAGCACAACACGGATCAATTCTCAGCACAAATCAATCATGCTCCGCAGAGCTCAACATGGCGAATTTAAGTTTTTACCCTTTTATCTGGCACAACAACTTTTATACACCTTTATACAAGGGATCAGTTTTTGTGCCAGATAAAAGGGTAAAAACCGATTACTATATCTTGTTACTGGCAGAGGAGGTCTCATAATGTAAGTGCTTACTCCGAGCTCTCACTACTCTGATGGTGCGTTGTTTTTGAGTTGTACGCCTTTTGGCGTCTTCTGGTCCAACATCAGTGGAGACTGGGCTCTAAGAAAAGCCGTCTCGGGTGTGGACCAATCAAATTCAAGGACAGTGCATATTATCAGAGTTGTCTTTTTTGTTTGCATTTTGACTACTTGTGTTGTGGTTATTGCAAACATGATCCCTTTTATAAAGGTGTCAGTTTTTGTGCCAGATAAAAGGGTAAAAACCTATTACTATATCTTGTTACTGGCAAAGGAGGTCTCATAATGGCGAGTTTAAGTTAATGGCCCATGATGAATCGTCTGTGCGGCTACGTGGTCGGCAGCTGATGGCAGTACAGCAAAATTCGTTCCTGTACTTCCACTACTATGATTCCCACCTTCACCCACCCGCACTGACCAGAGTAGTAAAGTGTAGTCAAATAGCTCCCATGACCCGCTCGGCCCTGAAGGTCCTCATTCAGCAGTGGATTGACAAAGAGCCTGTACATGTACGATTGATCATCTGAGGTGCAAGATTGTCATTTACTTATCCAGAGGAGTTCACAAACCAAGTTGCTGCACTGTGATCTCCTGCACATCTTGCAGACCCCAATGGGTTTGGGAATTTCACAAAGATGCACGTTTCACCAACCCTCATTTTCAACATGCAAGATGACATGCATGCACCGTTTATTAGAATAAACATGAACTCAACATTTCCAGCAGATAATACTCAACATATGGTGAAGTTCCAATGTAAAATAGAAGTGCAGGCCTGCAATTACCTGCTCATGCTACTACTGGCAAAAGGGCCTCCACCAGAGGAAGGCGAAAGAGTCCCTCTATATAGAGGGTATTTGGCCTACTCTACCACTTTGTCCACACTCCTTTGAAGGAAGAGTTACGCTTACCCACATTCACCCCACTACACACGACCGGCTGATCGACTAACCCATTTAACTTCGAGGTGTGTTACAACAAAAATATCCAAAGTTCCCCCGATATATCGGCTACTTGTCTAAGCATTGGCATGCACGTGGGGGCAGGCGTGTACGTGGGCTGGCGCTGCCCAGACTTCACGTGGGACTGCATCCGTGTGGGAGAATCGTGCCACTGCTTCTGCGGGCACCTTCTCGTCGATCACCACAGCTACACAGGTGAAGACGTGTTTGGCACCACCAAAACTACATACTCTCCGAGCAACTCGGGTCTCCAGCGAACGTCTTCACTGTCACTTTAACAAAAACGCGGGATCTTGGTTTTTGCTAGTTTTATCGTATAACCGTGCAAATTGTACATAGCATCTCTCAACCTCCAGTCCCCCACAAATGGATATCTTTTCTGATCGTGCGCGAATGACGCCACTGACTGCACTACTGCCTGCGCCTGATGGTCGGGTATTCACGGAAAGCTGTACTGCCGTAGAGATTCGCGAGGTCCGAAGTTGAGAAACACTGACATGGACAGCATATGCAATTGCCGAGGCACTGATACCATCTTCAAACGTGCCGTGCGCAGGTCAGAGTGTACACGTGCCATGTGCCAAACCGGGATGCGGGTGCCGTGCATTTGCTTTCATCCCCTCCCGGCCGGAGGAGGTGGGGGAGTTCTGGCTGCGAAAGCGTCCTGGCTTCGAGCCGGAGAGCTGGCGCGCCAAGTGTCGCTGCAAACATAGCCACGACGCGCACCATCCCAGAGGCAGCCTCTCTTGCAAGACCAAAGGTGAGTTTGGCCTGGACCTTGCTTTAGAGCAGTGGTTCCGAATGTTTCTACACCTACAGTACCACTGTCATCCTTTGGAAAAAAATGAAATAAATTCATCACAGAGCACCATGTACACAATGACATATTTTTCAAAATAATACCAAACAAACCTCAATTGTAGTAACTGCGACGAATCAGCGGACCACTTCCTCCCATGCCCTTGCAAATCACCAGTGGTCTACAGACCACAGGTTTGGGAGGTGGGGGGGGGTACCACTTTTTTAGAGGAAGACACCAACAAAAACTTGGCAACACAACTCCTCATACTGCAGACAATCGGGTGACCCGATTGTGTCGCCAGGTTGCAGCTGCCCGGGTTTTGAGTCGAGTTTTCTGTGCGCGGCGTGCGACCGTCGCTGGGAGCAGCACGAGACATTCTTCGACACGGAGAAGAGCAGACGTGAGGCTGGCCTGCCCGTCGGTGAGCATAGCTGTGGGCCTGGGCACCTTTAACATCCCGCAGTTTTTAAAAACGCACTCTGTGAACACTTTACTAAAACCCTCCCGCATGCGCCATTGCACTCGCAGGCATTCAAGTTACATATAAATTAAGATAAAACACATGCTACGCTATCTTAATACAATAAAGGGTTCATTTTACGTATTTTTTATACATCATTAACCATGATCAATTCCCTGCTGGATGAAGGCCTTTCCCAAGCCACTCCCATCTCTCACGGTCTTGCACCTGCGCATGAGCTGATTTCATCGCCCCATCTCTGTGGTAGATGTTCTCTCAGGCGTATTCCCTCTTTTGGTTGACACTCGGTAGTTAGTCTTAACCACCGGCCATCATCCCTTCCAGCAAAGTATCTTGCCCATATCCACTTACTTTTCCTAACAGTCAATTTGATGTATCTAACTTGAGTCTGTGCTCAATTCCGTGTGTCCCTCTTTCCATCCTGCAGTATAATGCATGCATGCATCTCTCCTTGCTTATTTGCGTTTTTGACTTTTGTGCCCATTTTCTTTGCGAGTTCAACGTTTGTGAACCACATATCACAGCAGGTAATACAAACCAATAACAACATTGATATATACGCACGCTCTTTCGTCAAACCAAAATGACACAATATCCTTCTCACTTCCACAGGCGAGGCGTACTTGCCGTTCGCGGAGATCCCGAAGCTCAGAAACGCTGTGCTGACAGGCAGCGAGGAGGACGACACAGAATACAAGGCCCTCAGGGAAGGGGGCCTTGCTGCGCTGCCCCCAGGCCAGCCAGCGGAAGACGGCGTGGCCAGTGACACGAAGGCGTCTGGCTTTCGGCCAGTGTATGACTAACCGTGCTGCGAAAGTTTCCATAAAACTACGTTGCCCGTTTATTTCAATGTCGTATTCATGAAACTCTTTAAATGTACAAACCCAACCTTCTCACGCCTCATGTCCACTGTGAACTACCATAATCTACATATATACGACTGCTATAAGATTATGCTAAGAACGCTGCGGTGGTGTTACGGTTAGCACACTTGACTTGTAATTCAGAGGTCACCCATTTAATTCGATCTCCCGGCGTGGCATTTGAAACAACGGTGCAAATTTATTAAATCCCCCCACCCCCCCCCCCCCACCTCTTTTCGCCCAGCAATATAAATGTGTACGCCATGCTTGATCGTCAGGATGATATGGTGGGGTACAGTGTGGGTACCCCCACCTTTTCCAGGATGTCTGGCCAAAGTATCCTCCAGTGGAGGCTCTTCACACAGCAGTGGAATGAGCAAGAAATTTTCGCCAGGCTGGAGCTTTACCGTTTTTATGAAATTACATGAAAACATTTCACACCTGGGGGAGGAGGGGGTGGTGATTTTACTCCTAAAATTACAGTAAACGTGAACCTTTGCTTTTCATAAATCCAGCATATAGAAGTTTAAGCAATTGATGTGTGTATTTATTCATCTCAGTCATGTGTGTACCATACTGAGCAGAAATAAAAAGAATAAATACATAAAACATGAAGCATCGTTTTAATTGCAATGTACAGTAATGCATTGCCTCATTAACATCTATGACAATCGCAAAGCTGCCCGAACCTTGCAAGTTCAAGGGCAGATCCACCAACACGCCCATTTCGTGTCTACTAGAGCACTGTTCCCGCAGTATTGCCAGGGAAGTTAGAGGGATACATGTATAGTGAGGGGAAAAAGTATTGATCCCCTGCTGATTTTGTACGTTTGCCCACTGACAAAGAAATTATCAGTCTATAATTTTAATGGTAGGTTTATTTGAACAGTGGGAGACAGAATAACAACAACAAAATCCAGAAAAACCCATGTCAAAAATGTTATAAATTGATTTGCATTTTAATGAGGGAAGTAAGTATTTGACCCCTCTGCAAAACATGACTTAGTACTTGGTGACAAAACCCTAGTTGGCAATCACAGAGGTCAGACGTTTCTTGTAGTTGGCCACCAGGTTTGCACACATCTCAGGAGGGATTTTGTCCCACTCCTCTTTGCAGATCTTCTCCAAGTCATTAAGGTTTCGAGGCTGAAGTTTGGCAACTCGAACCTTCAGCTCTCTCCACAGATTTTCTATGGGATTAAGGTCTGGAGACTGGCTAGGCCACTCCAGGACCTTAATGTGCTTCTTCTTGAGCCACTCCTCTGTTGCCTTGGCCGTGTGTTTTGGGTCATTGTCATGCTGGAATACCCATCCACGACCCATTTTCAATGCCCTGGCTGAGGGAAGGAGGTTCTCACCCAAGATTTGACGGTACATGGCCCCGTCCATCGTCCCTTTGATGCGGGGAAGTTGTCCTGTCCCCTTAGCAGAAAAACACCCCCAAAGCATAATGTTTCCACCTCCATGTTTGACGGTGGGGATGGTGTTCTTGGGGTCATAGGCAGAATTCCTCCTCCAAACACGGCAAGTTGAGTTGATGCCAAAGAGCTCTATTTTGGTCTCATCTGACCACAACACTTTCACCCAGTTGTCCTCTGAATCATTCAGATGTTCATTGGCAAACTTCAGACGGGCATGTATATGTGCTTTCTTGAGCAGGGGGACCTTGCGGGCGCTGCAGGATTTCGGTCCTTCACGGCGTAGTGTGTTACCAATTGTTTTCTTGGTGACTATGGTCCCAGCTGCCTTGAGATCATTGACAAGATCCTCCCGTGTAGTTCTGGGCTGATTCCTCACCGTTCTCATGATCATTGCAACTCCACGAGGTGAGATCTTGCATGGAGCCCCAGGCCGAGGGAGATTGACAGTTCTTTTGTGTTTCTTCCAATTGCAATAATCGCACCAACTCTTGTCACCTTCTCACCAAGCTGCTTGGCAATAGTCTTGTAGCCCATTCCAGCCTTGTGTAGGTCTACAGTCTTGTCCCTGACATCCTTGGAGAGCTCTTTGGTCTTGGCCACGGTGGAGAGTTTGGAATAAGATTGATTGATTGCTTCTGTGGACAGGTGTCTTTTATACAGTATCAAGCTGAGACTAGGAGCACTCCCTTTACGCAATGACCGTCGTGAAGTATGGTGGGGCCGTCCATAAATGACGTCACGCAATTTTGGACGATTTTTGACACCCCCCCTTCGTCACACGGCGTCACAAAAAGTCAGACCCCACTCTGAAATATGACGTCACAAAGCTCTGCCCCCCCTCCCCAAATAAAACATGCTTCAAATTGCTTTAAACTATTGTCATTGTAGTGCGTATTTTATGTGGCGCTGCACTCTGATGTTGTAGGAGACGACATTTATTAAAAAAGTATATTTAATTAAGTAGAACGTGTTGTCTATATTTATTTAAAGTTGCGCATTTTGATGTGACGTCACATTTCTCACCCTCCCCCCCATCGTCACACATCGTCACAAATGTCGGATCCCCCCTCCCCCCCCCCCCTAGGTGCGTGACGTCATTTATGGACGGCCCCTATGGTCAAATTATATTCCTTCGAGCACGAAAGGCGTGAGGGAGCTCTCATCCAGCAGTGGAATGACAAAGTGCTCGACACACCGCACGGGTGTTCGGCTTAATGAAGCCTAACGTGTTTAACAATGGCAATAACAATGGGAGGCGTGACGTTCAAGCGAATATTTCCTTCAGAAAATATAGGACCGTACACAACCTGATCCACACACGGCAAATGAAATAAGAGTGCGCACGCTTACGTTCGACACGCCTCCGACCATTGAAATAAACAGGCCGGGACTAAATTCACTCAAACTCCTTCTGTACACACACTACCAAATGCACAATGAGTCCCTGCTCCAGCCTTAAAGCTCAGAGGCAGTGGTAAAAAAAAACAAATACACGTTCCTGCGACACTACAGCAGAGCTGTGCATAACAACGCCTCTAACACACCAACCCACCCGCTGTAGTAAGGACTAACAACACATAGGACAGCTCCAATACACCTCCGATTTGCACGGTTGGCTACGTACGGTGCGACATAAGTTCGACATACAATGCATGCGATGCAATCCATAATGGATTTAAACTCCTTCTTACCCCAGCCCTCGGCCGAAGGTGGATAGTTCCACATCCCTACCACAGAGCCTCGGTGGAAATTCCAACATTCCTACGACAAGAGTCTACCAAATCCCCCCCGCCCCCCACACACACACACACGCCCCCGCGAGTAAGACGTTCTATGACAATCAACAATCGTTGTGCGGATCGTCGCCACTGGCGTGACGCGCGCGTTCGAGTTACGCGCATGGCGATGAGCTTTGTTGTTGAATGTCACAACACATCTCCCTAGGCGCCAGCGTCCCGCCTTCCAGCGGGGCAGTGCCGGGTTTAGCGGTCGCCCTCTCGGGGGAGGGTGTATTCCCGCAAAGAGTGAGCGAGTGGCGAACGAGAGAGAGGCAAGTCCAGGTGGCTTATATACCGGCATCGCCAACGCGCAAAGCACGACAGCGGAGTTCACGGCACAGGGGTGAAAGGTGCGCACGCCGTGGCACACACGTGCAATCTGCCGGGTCACGTACAGAGCGTGCGCGCGTTTCTGTGTCTTTATATGTGTATTCTTTCCTTTATAGTTTATTTTTTTTGGTTTGTTTCTTGATTGTTTTGTTGTTGTTGTTGTTTCAAATTGTATTTTCAAGCGAGAAGGTGGAATGGATCAAGACGTTTTTCCTCCCAAGATCAGCTCGCTGCTGATGACGGCGGAGCCACACTACATCCCCGGGTGAGTGACACAGGAGGAGAGGCTAAAGCTTCGCGACGTGTATAGATCACATTCATCACGCACGTACCCTGTTCTACGGATTATAAGACGCACTTTTCCCTTCATTATAAGACGTCTTGTAATCCGTAAATTACGATCAAAGCATAGCTCCGTGCTGCTGATGAGAACTCATAAGATCGAACACCGCCCGACGGTTTGCCTGCTGAAACAAACGCTGCTGGGTAACTTTGCTCCCTCCGGCTCTCGGGAGGACGGAGTCACGGGAATCAGAATTATTCACGGCACTTCGACCTGCGAGCTGAGAGACCATACTTCACCAGACTGGTCAGTACGGGCTGGTGAAGCGAGGGGCAGGAGGGCATGTCGGACTCGGATATCACAAACCACAATGTACCCACGCAATGCGCACTATTGTGACATAGCATTGGAGAGCTACGTCACACTGCCAATGCGAACCTCTAAAACTCGTATGACGCCAAAGCATAGAGCAAGTAACTCCACTACTTAGAGACATATTGGTCTATTCCGTGCTTATGTATGTTTGTGTGTGTGTTGGGGAGCGGTTTGCGTAGCGGTGTTAACGCACAGTGCTACGGATCAAGCCACCCCCGAGATGGATTCTCGGCCATGGCTAACAGCGGTGGGGAGTGATGCCCGAACCGATCCTGGGCCCTCACCCTCGGTCGACTTAGCCTCCAGAGAGTTATCCTGGCGGCACGGTGTGTAACAAACCACCGCTGGGGAAACAAAGAGAGCAGAAACCGTGGCGCCCTTAATAGGTGCTCGCTAACAACTCTTACCCCAACAGTGTGTTAAGGGCTAAGGGGTCGGGGGTCTCTTTGTGTGTGTGTGTGAACTTGCTCAAGCAAAGACCCCCGCAAAGAGCTGGGCGTGTGCGGACTGCCATTGTGTACGTGTCTCTATAGCGACTGAAGTTAAGAAGGGGGGTAGTGACGACTTCCACTGAGTGCTATTGGCAACACGGTTACGGGCACACACACACACAGCGACCGGGGAATAGTGTACACGTTCACCGGTCAATATACGCCTTGCGAATAATAATTCAAATGTATAATGCGCATTCCATCCTAGTGTTGCTGTTGTATAGGTTTTTTTTCAGGAAATTATACGATATGCATTGTAACGATATTGCAATGTTTTTTACTTAGTTGCTATTGTGTATTGATGTACAGTACTTCCAGTACGAATTTTTTTAAAGAAAATACTTAAAAGTTTGCCAGCCGCGGTTCGCTCAAGTTGAGACCGAACATGGGATCTCTCTAATCATTGCAAACTTGACAACATTGTAACCCTTGCAACGCACATGCCATCAGCTATGCAAGACGCAATTACATTTCAAAGAAATCCTCCCCGAAGTCCCAACAGTGTTGGGTGTTTTCTTCTTCTTTAGGGGGTCTCCTGCAATGGTTATGTTTGGCCAAACCCACGAATTGTATTTCCTTGAGGCAAGAAACGAGAGATGGATAAACACCAACAGGCCTACCATAAGGGTGAACACTTAAACGCTCCGCATAGAACGATTCAAGAATGAATAACACAAGTGGCTCCTGTCTCATAGCCACCTCCGCAGGCCAACCCTCCATCTTCATATATATAAAAGGCAAAGTTGTGATTATGTGTGTCTGTTCAAAATGTTTAGCGTACTTCCCGACATGCATCAAACTGCAAATTTGCCATGTGGATACTTTCCAGACTGTACACCATGCAAAAATTATAAAAATACACTTTTCTTTTGGGGGGGGGAGCTCAATAATGCATAGATTTTTTGCACGGCAAGTGAGCTGTGACGTCAAATCTGTCACGTGACCCGCGCATGTGGAAGCGTAACGCATTGTAGTGTAGTGGTTAGCGCGCTGTCTGTGTGTGTCTGTCTGTGTCTGTGTGTGTGTCTGTCTGTGTGTGGAAGCGTAACGCATTGTAGTGTAGTGGTTAGCGCGCTGTGTATGTGTGTGTGTCTGTCTGTGTGTGTGTGTCTGTCAGTGTGTGTGTGGAAGCGTAACGCATTGTAGTGTAGTGGTTAGCGCGCTGTGTGTGTCTGTGTGTGTGTCTGTGTGTGTGTCTGTCTGTGTGTCTGTCTGTGTCTGTCTGTGTGGAAGCGTAACGCATTGTAGTGTAGTGGTTAGCGCGCCGCGCTACGAACCCGGCGACCCGAGTTCGATTCCCGCTCACGGCCACCACCAGTGACGATTATTTGAACCGGTCCTGGGCCTTCCCTAGGTCGACTTAGCCTCAAACGAGTAACTTTTGTGGTGTGTGAACATCGCCACTGGGGAGACAAAGGCGGCCGGGCGTCGTGATTCCAAGTCCCGGGCGAAGCCGGGTAGTAAAGCTAGTACAGAATAAACGCGGTATTCCCGGGCAGTCCGAGTCAAGGACTAACCGAGCTTAAACCCCGCTTGTTGCATTCCGAGATCCGACGACATCGCGACAATTTCAGGGAAGTGGGGTTCGGTCGTACGGATCCGCAAGGGTTATTTGTCTCGTTGTTAAGTAACAGAAAACGCAACAATTCATTCGGCAGTAGATTGAGCACGGCTGATGACATTCAGCGGTGAATTGATCGTGGCTTGGGACTGATCAAGACCGATGATAGATGAGAGAAGTGTTCCAGATAAAGTCCAGAATAGAGAACACGTGCAGACTTCATTTGGACTATAATAGTGGGGGGTTTTTTTGGGTTAGATCGCGTAAATCTATAAAATGTGTCGTTAAAACCCACCACCACCCGACACGGCCAACTAGTAAGGGTTGTCACGTAAACAGAACATTCCAATTCGTCACTAGTACAGCACACCGGTGTGTTGGAGAGTCAAGCCACAATGTTTACAATCTGAGTACGACGTTTCGCAGTAATTACAACTGATGAAGCTGTAAATGTTGTGGCTTGGCTCTCCAAACACACCGGTGTGCTGTACTCGTGACGAATCGGCCACGTTCTGTTTCCGTGACAACCCTTACTGTGTCGGGTGGTGGCGGGTTTTAACGACACATTTATATATTTACGCGATCTAACCCAAAAAAAACCTTTATTAAGGATGATATTGGTCGCGAAAGCCTACGTGTTAAACATTCATTTTGGACTGTTTACAAAATAATGGGGCTTCATCCATTTGTGGATTGATCATGGCTGATGGCATTCAAGAGTGGGTCGATCACGGCTTGAATTGGTCACGGATGATAATAGACTTTTGTGACAAGTCTGGGAAGACAGTAATGTCTTTACTTTCCTCTCACCCCTGACTCCTCTCGTGTGTAGCAACTTGGCGCCTCGCCTTGGTTACGAGCCGGCTCAGGTCACGGTGATTCCACTCGCCTCTTTGCCGATTCCGCCAACAGGTACCGCGGCTACTGCCCCCAGTACAAGTACAACGTGGGCAGCACCTACGGGCAACAGACGGGCCAGCTGCTGCGTGACCCTGCCGTGGCTCACTCGGATAAACTGGTGCTGCAGAGTGGGCAGCCTATCCAGCCGCGACCCCCACCGGGACCTCCTGGTCACCAGCGCATGTCGCAGAGACGCCCGGTGTCCGACGTTCAGAAACTGACAGCCAGCATGGTGCCTGGATACACGGGTGCGTCGTCGTCGTCGTCGTCATCATCACCATCATCTTGTTTTGCATTTCGCTCTGTCCATCTGACTGCCCGGAGCACGGGTGGCTTAACGTACGGTTGCGAAAGAAGTTCTGCGTACGTGCACATACATCTATCGACTCGTCAAGAAGAAAAAAGATCCAATGTCAATTAAATGGTAGTATAAAGTTGTGTTAATATTGGTGGCTTATCCCATAATAAACATGACACGTTGATCAAAGGGTTGAAAACAGTATTACAGTGCCGGATTAAGCGAGTGCGGGGCCTGTAGCGTATGTTATAAAGGGGTCCTATATAAATTTTAAAACACGTTATATTAAAACACAATTTTACTTGCATAGTAAATTGTATTTTTTCATTTGCTATACAGCCAGATAATACGACAAATCGCTAACCTCAAACACCCAGTCGTTTATAAAAGTTGAAGGCGGTATAGTACTATAGTAATAGAGCAAGTGCAGAATCACTGAACCGGAATTGATAGCTTGAAAGTATTTAGCGCGGGGCCCTTGAAAGTGCGGGGCCGTAGCTACTGCTACATATGTAGCTACTACTACATATGTAGCTACTACATGTGTAGCTACTACTACATGTATATATGTAGCTACTTTTGCTACTGGGCTAATCCGGCACTGCAGTATTCATGGCTAAGCCTCCGCAGTCAATGTGATGACGTCTCACGCCATTAGCCGTCATCTCGTTCGTTCTGCCGCTGAAAGGGAAGCGGATTATTGCGAGTCAAATACTTTCAACGTGTTGGAAAGTGTTCAGCAATAATTCTATCTGTGCTGCTATTTCCCCTTGGCTACAGCGGCCTCGTGCCGTGTTGTCGCGCTGTAGCCAAGGGGACTGGATCAGGGACACGTGGCACGCCAGTGTAACAAAGGTTTACGGATTCAAATCCCACCCCCCGATCCTCAGATCAGATAGCACAGCGCTTCGTATTGTCAAACAACTCCAACACCTACTGAAGGTGGGAATGGGTTTCATCGTTCAATGGATGGACGAAGGTCTATTACATTTTTATAATAATTATGAGCTATTATAAGAATATTTTTTTTACCTGTACTAGAGGAATCCGATGAGCTATAGAGTTGTTGTTTTTTCACAGATGCCCAGTAGGGGCGGGTCAGAAAGTTACACCAACAAACAACACAACAATACGGTAGGAGTGCAAAGTACTGGATAGGAAAAGTGAGCAAATTACTAAAAATAAATATTAAACCATTTTTTCTTGTACCAGATAAAGCCCACTGAGCTATTAGCTTATTTTTCAGAAGCGACCTGGACACAAACGATAGCTCAACAAAGTGGCTAATCACGTGGGAATGTATTACACCCAAATAATCTACATACATTCATCTAAACGCGTGCTTGCAATTTGGCCTCGTTTCAGCTCCGTATAATAAATGTATCATTAGAATTCAACCACGTTTAACAATGCTGACATTTCAACACTAATCGACCACTAATGAGAGAGCTGGCGATGTCATTGCGCCTTATTTAAGCGCTTATCAGCTCAAAGCAACGCGCGCGCCTGTCTGAATTGATGGGAGAGCAGCTCCCGATCTCTCCCTTGGCGCGGTGCTTGAGCCAGGCGGGTTCGCCAGTCATATCCACAGGACCCAAAACGGGACAAATTAAACACTCAATGAATTCAACCTCATTTACGTCATTCGATGAGAGCACGTGGAACCAAACTGTCCCTTTAGCAAGATTAACCAGAGGCGTTGTGTTTGTGATTGATTTATTAGATTGTCCGGAATAATTCTGTACATCCGGATGCTTAATTGCGAATGCGTGCTTTGCTTTTTAAAACTTTCACTCACAGCAGTTGCCCTCTACAGCCCTATGTAGGCTACGCGGGGGTTCTTGTTGTATATATGTTATTTATAAACGTAGCACGTCGTGAGTGCACAATATCAATTCCAGAAGGTTTAGAGAGATGACATTTTGGACAAATGTAGATGAGTCTATTCTGATCACGGAGTGAAATTCGTAAACCACATTTATTGCAAAAAATGGGGGGTGGGGGAGGTACAAAGATTGTTAACGTTTTCGTTTTTGAACATAAACACCTGGGTCGTGCTGCGTTTGGAGCGTGCTGAATTTTTATATCACATCACATCTTCAATATGCCTGGTATGTTTGGGACTGCATTTGGAATTTCTCGAAGACACCGGTGTAACACTCAAACCCCATCGGAACATCAACAGGACGATACGCACATCTCGTTAAGAGATTGAAATTGAAAGAGAATGGCACAGTAGTGTGATTGTTGCCGTGCAACTCAAACTATGAACCTTATAGTAAGCCACTATTGTTCTGCGCTCCTTCTGTGGAGGGATTGCAAAACTCGACGAACTCTCTCCTGAAGTCCTCTCGTGGCGAGCAGACCTCGACACTGGCATTCATCTCCTTAACATATTGCCATTCACAAGAACAGAATAGACGACAGTGGTTCAATTATACTGCGTACGTGTGTTCTTTTTCAGGGTTCATCCCACGAGCCGAGTGCTTCTTCTCGCACACGTACGCGGACACGTGTCGCGATGCGCTCCGTCTCTTCGAGAAGGAGCAGCGAGTGGCGACCAAGCGGCACCTGCAGACAACTTCCCTCGACGGGGAGACCGGGTTGCGGACTCAAACCTATGCTTCAGCAGGCGGCGGGGGTGGGATCGATGGTCGGTTCCACTCCAGGGCCAGTGTCGCTGAACGCAGAGGAGGCGATTCGCCAAGCGACCGCGTCACTTTCAAGGTGCTATTGGGTGTTGTCATCGATTGTCTGGCTCGGTCGGTTCGTCTTAACGAGCCTGTCGTTGTGCCGATGAGACGCAGAAGGTCGAAAAGGGTGCAGAACTTTCTTGCTTAAACAAATGCTGCTTGATTATGGCATTGGTCTGGAAAGCCGATAGGCTGATGGACTAAAACTTGCTTATTTATGTGCGGAGACAGAACGGAGTTCTGCTTCGGGCCCTATATATGCTGCCAATGTTGAGAACGCATAAGCCACTGGGTCAACAAAACTATCCGATGGGATGTCGTGCTCTTAAGTCTTAAATTAAATGCAAGCGGACCATATTGTTTAACAATCGTCAGCCCTAAATCCATCTCAATATTGAATCCGTGTGCGGTATAATTTAAGCGCCTTATCTGCCTATCGCATTGAAATGGTTACATTCTGTAAATACGGTACCTGGATATTTGCATACAAACGTCTGATAAAAAACTTATGCTTAAATCGGGGTTTCTTGACAAATAGCTGCTTGTATGAAGTTTTTTTTTATTATTATAGGATTTGGTCCCATATTGCGTTTTTTATGTTGTGCTGTCCTATACTGACACAGCCGTCCTTTGAAAAAGGGGCTATTTATCTCAGCGGGCTGTCACTTTGTTTTTTAAGGTCACTTACTATTAATGGGTGGAGTGGTGGGGCAGTGGTTATCACACTCTACCATGAAACTGGTCGAGTTCAATTAATAACCACAGCTAACATCAGTCACGAGTGATATTTAAACAGTTCCAAGTGTGTCCTGCTTCGCCCCCCTCCCCCTACTTCCTTCACCAACCCACTAACCAATATGGTGAAGTATAGTTAAACAATCCCCATGACCGACACAGCATGGGGAAGCAACCATTCGCCCAGCAGTGAATACAAAATGTGTTAATTAAATTGAGTATAATGGAGTGTTAGATTTATATAAAAATAACAATGAATCGCAATGAATCACCCTTTTCCTGATGACGAACGCTTGTGTTGCGATCGAAACGTCGTAGTTTTTTGTTATTTTCTTTGAACCTATCTACGTGACTTTACCGAAAGACCAAAAGAATAATCACAAGGTCAGTTTTTTATTCAGCAATATTCAGTTTACATAGGTGTGCATAGAGCTGTAGAAATCCCTCTTTGTTTGGTGTCAATCATTCTGGTACAGCAAATTAATGGATATGCGTGGCATGGGAAGGTGAAGAGATTGTGTTTGCCCTACCAGATGAAACACATCACAATGCAGACGACACACCCAGCAAGCCGTGAAGAAGCTCCAGGTGATATTTACACGTTAACACACGTGACTGACATGACCGGCTGTGTGGCCCGGGCTGTGACTGTGTCAGATACCGAGCCGTCCGCTGACGTGCCTGGCCAAGGAGGTACCCCTGTACCGCTCGTCTCCTGCCCTCCGAGTCCTCAACTCCCCGTACAACATGGACAGTGACGACCCCTACAAGTGGTTCATGTCTGGTGCGTGTCAAAGCGTCACGCAAGCACCGCCATCATCAATGACACAGTAATATAATGATCGTGAACATTATCATCATCATCATCATTCGTGGACAATCTGCATCGTCAAATATCTGTACGATCCATCATCGGCAGCACGTTTGCCGCTTGTTGCAGAGGTTGGCGGATTCAAAGCCAGCAGGCCGCCCTTGTTATTACTGTCGGAGAATTAATCATTAATGTGCATCGTCTGTTCACAGTGGACACTAAAGGAATTAGCAGACCATCGTGTGCTGGTTCCAAGGTCCAAATTTGCCAAATTCGAAAAATGACCTGCAAATTTGTAAATTTACACATAGCAAATCATCGCCCTCTACTGGCAAACTAATACCTACCGCAAGCTGATGCTAAGTCACCTTGTGCTGCACAGGGACAGCTGCCAATGGGGGGTGCCCTGAGAATTGTTTGACGTGAGATGCAAGGCGTTTTGAGTTTGAGGCATTCAAGTGCTATATAAATATAACGATTCTTCTTATTATTATTATAATCACCGCTTCGACAATGGCAGCTCCAGCATTGCGAGACGCGCACACCAGCCGCAGCGGCTCGTAAATGCCACGCTGCTGCCACGCTGTCCGCAGGATACACGGGCTACGTACCACGCGAGCGCTTCCTGATCGGGGCCGGGTACCCGGTCACGACGAACCGCGCGCTCCGAGAGTTCAGCTCCAAGCTGGACAGGACCAGCGCGTGGAGGGGCGGCACAATGGCGCCGCTGTCCCCCTGGAGGCCCGACCTCCTGGACGGGATGCGCCCGCACAGCCACCACGAAGGCAAGGCAGTGGCGACCTTGACGGCGCTGCCTGGGCACCTCCCCGACATCGTGCAGCACAAGGGAGCGCAGCCACCCAGCAGGAATGTCATCTATGCCCCGGACATGGGCCTCATCCCCAACTACACGGGCTACGTCCCAGGTGCACGACGATTTGCTCGCACTGCTCCACTCGAGTCGCTTGCTTGACGGCGGTCGGTCGCCTGCTTATCGCACTTCTGTCGTTACTGTTTTGGCTCATCCACGCTCCGGTCAACCGCAGTAGTGCAGGTCAGAACACACATCTCCATGCTTCTTTCCTCGCACTGCTCCACTTTGGAATTCCCTCCCACATTGTCGATTGTTCATTCTTCACCATAGAAGTTGAAGGCGAGGGGGGAGGTCCAGGACAGGTTCAGCTATCATTGATGTTCGCCTCCACCGGCAATCAAACTCAGGGGCCCGAGTACCTGAATGGATTGCGCATTTAGCGGCAGCAGCAGCATGTATCCTGTGTATATGAGTGGTGCAATTATTGGCATAGTGGTGCTAATCATTGCACCACTCATACTTTTTTTTAAAGCCAATGTGATTTCCTACTCATACGAGCAGCGGTGTAAAATGCACATTCTTATGGTGGGGGGTGAGTCCATCTATAAGGCAACCACTGTTGACTTCCCCACAAAGTGGTACTCACTTTATCGACCCTGGAGGGATGATGGGCTGAGGCAACCCTCAAATAGGAATTGAACCCACAACCTTCCCATCGCGAGCTGCTCACTCTTCCACTGAGCCACAGGTCGATTGCACCACTTCTGCACCTGTCATAAGTAATGTTTAGTATTGTTGCATTATGCTTTGAATTAACATGGGGATGTTGATCTGGATTATTAAAAAAAAATATTCTTGAACCCAAAGAACAGGAATCACAGAGGGGATACATTCCGCGTGTGCACAACATGCTCGGTCCAGCCACAAACCACCCTTGAGTAATTCTCCCCCTAAATGGAGGCCCGATTAAAGGTACCCAGGATTCAGGTGATCTGAATTACTAACACGCTGTCTGTGATCTGTCCGTAGGATACAAGTTCCAGTATGGACACACGTACGGCCAACTGACTGAGGACGCACTTGGGATGAGCACCATGCAGAAGGAGATCCTTGCCAACTGAAGCAAAGCAAGGGCACCGCAGGCCGAGACAGCCGCCGTTTTAACCACTAGTATTGTGCACATGTGTGTGGCTTAAAATGCAATCAAAATGTTTCAGGGTTAGATTATAATAGCATTTGATATTGCATTTGCTGCTGATGTTAGTCAGGGTTGTTGTTTTTTTAATCTACGCTCACGCTGAAGAGATTTTGTTCTGATCTAAGACTAAGCCTGTACTTGTGACAGATTTAGGTTCCGGATGCAAAGGTTTGATCCACACACGCAAACCTCAACTCATGCACGACCAAATGCAATTGTTAACAATACAGAGTTTCCTAAATTTGCTAGGTCACATTTTAATTACAAATTCAAACATGCACTTGGAAGAAAAACAGCAATACAAAACAACCGTCTTAATATCAAGACAAAGTGGCGTTTGCTTTTTTTTTTGCAAAACATTTAACATGCTTCCTTTTACGGAAGTCCTGCAAATAAAGCTTAAATGTTGGGCTCGTCGTGTCAAGAATCTACTGTAGACACAGCCACCAATAAGATGTGAGCACACAGGAGATTACGCAGTGGTGGACAGATGGTGAGGTGAAGCGCGTGCACACACACACACACACGAGCCAACCAACGACTGCACGACATATATCCATTCTCTTCAGTCGAGCTCAATGCTGGAAATCAGCCTCAACGATCCACCCGGGTCACTCAATGGTGGTGCCGCCCTTACAAACGGCACTGTTTTACATAGGAAGCACCGGCACTTGTCAGCTAGGAGTTTAACGGTTCACCTCTGCACACAATTTGATGATTTGTTGTGATTAGATGAATAATACATTTTTTTGTTTTACTCTGTGGTCAATGTAGCAGCCACTGGTGGCTGCAGGGGCTCATGTGAACTAATTGAAACCTAATTAAACATTTTCAGCCCTTTCTCAATTCACTGATGAAGGCTTCCTTGCTCCATCACGATCATAGGAGGCTGTTTGACCATACTTCTCTACGCTGACCAGTACACATTGGTGAAGGTGTCGGGAGCCCAGGATTGGTTCAGATATCACACAACCCTGGTGTTAGCCGTAGCCAAGAATGAACCCGAGTTGCCAGGTTCAGCGCGCGTTACTACAAATCAAAAACTTGGATTCTTACACGCGTGAATCGCATGTATCGCGAGCTTAATAAATATTCACTGATGTGTCGACTATCAGCCTTGCTTACTGCAGAACACAAAATGATAATTAAAACTCAGCCAAAGTTATTTACAGTCGTGCCAAAGAAGAATGAAAATGTCCAAGTCTAAATACATGTTTAAAATCACATTTTACAGCACCACGGTTCGTTTGTTGAAAATATCAACCACAGGCATTGTCATGCTTGCATTTAGGCTGCTTGTTCGCTGCAAGCTGTAAACCAGTCAGTATAAACACAAAGCCACGAGCAGTGTGGTAGTCATGGGAGTGAGGGACCTTAAAAGGCGACCAGATGAACGACCTGAAACAAATCAAACAGAGAAGATTGAGCATTTAACACAACAAGCAACGCGGATGACGGCTACTTTTGGCTGAAATTTAGCAGGAATTATTGCAAATGTGAATAATTTGTGAATGCACCCATTAATAACTCGAACTTGTTTTAAGGCTCCTTCAATAAGTTTCTAAATGAAACAAAAAACTAAATGAAATGGAAGGTTATATTTTTATAAGAAAAACTGTATTCCAGGTAAAAAGTTGGTTATCTATTTAAAGATGATAGTGATGCGTGTTTTGCATCGCATTGCATACATCGGGTGTTGCTAACAAGTCGTTAAATTTAACTACAACCATTCACCTGGCTAACACAACCATCTTAATACAATGGGACCTTGCACATGATAAGAGTAAGGTCGAGTGTGTATGCACGGCACAGTGCGAGTGAGCATAAACATTCACATCATTCCACACACACACACAAAGCTCAATGCCAAGAGCAACAACAATAATTTCCAGCCTTTTTCTCATCCACTGCTGGATAAAGGCTTCCCGCACATCATGTCCTCAAATGGGAGTTGAGTGAATGCTGGTCAGTGTGAGTTTGTTTCTGTGGGTGGCCCAGGACTGGTTTAGATATCGCTCGCCACTAAAGTTAGCCATGGCCAGGAATTGAACTCACCAGGTTCATAGCGTCGTGCGCTAAACAACTTGCACCACCAATCACTCCCGAATGGCAGTACAGGCTAGAACATAGCATGGGCCAGAATAGTTTACGAAGGAAAGAGGCATTTGGCAAGAGCACTACAAAAGGCGTGCATAGAAAGGATCTCGGAAGTAGCTCTGTGATATTCGCATCCGCGGGCCACTCCCTAACACGAATGGTTCCACTGCTCTGCAACAGTTCCGATAACACATTTGCGATAAAACGGAGGTGGGGGGGACAATGACAAAAAGGTATATATTACGGACGCACGCACCCCAGCGCTGAATTACTGCGCGATTTCGAGCACGCGCTGCACGGGATGGAAGACGATCGCACGGCCACTCACCCCGTCCGTCGGGGACCGCCTCCCCGCTGTGCCGCACGTTCAGCAGCGCGTGCCGCTGCAGCGGCGACAGCTGCTCCAGCTGCTCGTCCGTCACCGCCTCCGCCTGCGCCGCCGTGAAGTGCTGCAGGCTGCTCACCTCGAACACCACCTGGGGGAAGGAACACAAAAGGGCTGGGTGGCTCAGTGGGGGTTACTACTGGGGATGTTAGCAATGCATCGTGGCAGGCAATATACGCACCGTGTAAACACATTCTTTGGAGGCGCACGCCAAGCTGCTTTTCCGCGTCGACATTCGGTTGTATTTACGTCGCGGGGCCGTGAGAGACGATGCTTTGGGAAGTCTTCATTGATCATGGCTGATGATGAGGAATGATGCATCTATTGTATTGATTACAATTATATACTTGCGATCCATGCATCGAAACGTGCATGCTGAGAATTGACCATTTACTATTTACACAAATTGTATACAAATTATGAGCCAATGTTAGATCGGGGGTGATAAAGTGGACAAAATTACAAATGAAACAATCACAAAAATTGAATGGTTAAAAATAATCAACCGTTGGATCATATTGCGACCTCGAATGGTGATAACCAAATTGCTGGGGGCGGGGAGGGGTGAATCTTCGCGTGTCAGAGCACTGAGCTGCCACCACACAGATCCGGGGATCAAATTCAGGACACAATCCCGTCATTAAACCGGAACTCTCTCGTGCTGTGAGTTGATGGTTGCAGCCCAGTCACCAATAACCTCACGAATAGACCATCATTTAATGTGCTTTATCACTTAATTAACCTCACGAATAAACCATCATATTTAATTTGCTTTATCGCTTAGTTTGGAATATATAAGTAACGTATGAGGGGTAATCCAAACATTTAAGCTGTCCCGGTGCAGCTCGTCCAGGGAACCGGTGGATTTAGACACGCGGCGTGGACTTGTGGAACGCACTTCGTATAAGGTGGGGGCACCACAGTGGCGAGATGTTAACTACCTCGCCTGGTATGCAGAAGGTCGTGGGTTCGATCTCGACCCTGACACCTGCTGTATATTTAGAGTTTGCGTGTCTCTCCGTGGTCATTTTGGATTTCTCTCTGGGTTGGGTCCTCCGTTTTTTTCCTCCACATCTAGAAACGTGCGTTGTTGATTACTTACAGCAAATTTCCGTGGAGGCATAATTGCAATGGCAGTCGATGTGAGGCCCTCGATTTGTTCTTTGACCAAGGCCGACAGGACCACATCGGGGAGACCAACTGCAACATAAAACAAGATGAGGCAACATTCCATTGATTGAAATCTTTGCAAAGTGTGCCTTTATCCACTAATGATTGATGGCCTCTTCTCACCATGCATGTATGTAAGTATGTTGAACTGCTTTCGCAAAGTACTGAGCCAACAGTGCTAATCGGAGGTGCGGGGGAAGGACAACAAACTGAACACAAAAAGCAGATCTAAAGAAATGAATTACCATGTTGGCAACGGGCCATACATCACCACGTTGGTCATTGTGGTTTGGTGAATAGCAAGGTTGGGGGGAGAACGCATGACAGCTCAGATATCACTCGTAATTGATGTTAGCCGTGACCAGGAATCCAACTCAGGGACTAAGGTCACCTGGTCCATAGTGCAGTGCGCTAACTACTGTGCATGACAACTTCCCCCCAACCTCGATTGCCACCGAAGCCGGATTTAATTCCTTAAAGCGTGCGAATCATACGAAGTTGAACTCTGACAACAGACCCGATCGTGCGGTACCTGCAACAGACCCGATCTCCGTGAACACCTCCAGACCCCAGTTGCTTGGGAGGCCAAAGGCTGAGGAGCTCATTGCCACCTTGACCAAGGAGTTGAGCTGGGCCTCTGTGCAGCGCAGGCTCAGCCTTCCGATCGCCAGGGCTGCCCGACTGCACACAATTTCGGTGGCACGCACACCCATCTCACTGTCCAAGGCTTTCTATGCTTGGTTTTCTGTTTCATGCAAAGCCTCCTTAAGCACAGTACAATTATTCCGGCTACTCCAAACACTAATTCGGTCGAAGTTGGAACATCGTTGTAATGTCTGGAATGGATCGCGTCGTTCTTACCTCACCACACCTGATGGAGTTCAATGTCTCAGAACAGTCAGGTTCATTAATGATCCAGCTCTCACTCGATTCACTCCGGTCACTCGCTCACCACCTCGCTTATCGCTCTTCTGTCGCAAACTACCACGGTTACTGCTCTCATAAACTTCACTAACTCATTCCTCCACCCGTGCCGAGTGTGGAAAAGTAGGCTAAAATACCCTCGAGAGGAGCTCTCCAGAGCTGCCTCGAGTGTGCAGGCTCTTCCACCAGGAGTGGTGCGAGCGAGAAATTCCAGGGCCTCACATTTACCCTGAAAATTTTGACAAATGTATTTCCTTCCCTGATATAAATATGCATGTACCTCGCACGTGGTCTCCACTTGGGTGGGGAAGTGAGCCCAGTTTTCCCCCTTAATAGGGCCCTGTCACGCCGAAATCGGGTTGCTGTTTGCGTAATTTCTGTCCCCCCTCCGTTCTATGATCGGCGTATTGTGCCGGGCATGTGTTGAGTTGTAGAAATAAAAAAAAAAGCCAAAAGTGTTTTGTGGCATCTACCGAAGGTGCACCTCCACCTCCCCGCCTCTCTCTCTCTCTTCACAGAATCCCAAGGCTCTTAAGAATTGAAACACGCCCTTTGCCCTCTATTTTTTTCTAGCAAATGTTCCCGGCCCTCTGACCTGTACTGCCGCGCGTTGATGCGCGAGATGTCGGTCGGCGTCATGCCGCAGATGAAGTGTCCCAGCATCACCAGATCGGTCGAGTCCATCTCCGCCACCGATGACCCACTCCTTTGTACGAAACTCCGGAAACCTGCCACCAACTGCAGCCAAGCGACAGGACATCAAAGTGTGCTCGCAGTGAAATGCGCGAGCCACCACTCCAACCCAGGCGGTGGTAATCCCATGTACAGCCTTTAACAGGCTGTTTGGGGCAAGTGCCATTAACAAGCACCAATAAAGGCTGGCACGGCACATGAAGGGGTGGGCGGCTAACACCACAACACTACACCCGTGGCGATGTTTATACACCACACCAGGTACTCAATTTAAGGTTGAGTCGACCTTGGGGAGGATCAGAACTGGTTCCAATATTCGCCACTGTTATTGGTCGTGAGCAGGAAAAAAAGTCAGATCGTCGGGGGTTAGAGTGCAGTGCACTGATCACTGGACTACCGATAATGAGGTTGAAATACATCACATTAGTCCATTTAACATGAGAACACATGTCAGTTTCATACAAACTTTTTGACAGAAAATGTAAATGTACCTCCTTTCATCAGTTTGGCAAATAATCGTTTATAATGGTTTTTAAATTAGCATGCATATAGCATTGCAAATAAAAGATTGACTTCTGTGCAGGAGGATGTTTCGCTGCCCAAACCAAGGTTAATTCAGTGTAAGTTTAGTAAATAAAAATTTCACACGTGGCTTGGCGTTCAATCACACGCAACAAGCATGAGCAATAAAAACGTTAGGTTTAACAATGAAAGATTAATCATACATGTTAGTGATGACCTCTCAAAGCACAGTGTGGGGTGAGTGGGATGACCAGGGGGTGAGAGTGGGGTAAGTGTGAGATGAGTGTGGCATGAATGAGAGCCTAGTGGCGTGAGTGTGAGGTGAGTGTGGGGTGAGCATATGATGAGTGGTGTTAGCGTAGGGTGAGCGAGTGGTGAGCGTGAGGCAAGCATGGGGCAAATATGGGGTGAGTGCAAATAAAACATGGGGTGAGCATGGGGCTAGCATGCGGTGAGCATGTGGTATGTATGTAAATTGAACTTTTTTCGCACTGTACTTAGCCAACCGTGCTAATCAGAGCTGCGGGAGAGTGCGTGGTGAGTGTTGGGTGAGACCGGGGTGACCGTCTGGTGAGCGTGTGGCGGGCGTGTGGTGAGTGCGTAATTAGAGCGGGGTGAGCTTGGGGCACCTGTTTGCGGTCCCATCCCTCGAGGGCACCCAGTGAGGCCAGGGCGGCCGGGTCGGTGAGGTCCAGCTCAAGCAGCTCGCGCGGGGTGAGACGCGTCGCAGCGCGGCCCAGCTGCTGAATAATCGCGGGGGGCAGCCGCGCTGCTCCGCCATGCAACTGCGGGGGGGGGGGGCAGCAGAAGAAAGGAGGCGGCATCGTCATCATCATCATCGTCGTCGTCACCCTCATCATCCAAGACATTAACATCATCTCTGGAATCACCAGTAGCTTCGTCGGCACTCTTGCCATCATAATCATCATCATCACCGGTATCATCAACATGATCACAAAAATCAATGTAATCAGCAGCATCATATTCATCATCGGCAGTATGATCCATTGGTATCATCATCATGCTCACCATCATTGGTATCGTAATAGCCACCAGCAAAAAAATCATCATCATAATCATCAGCAGCATCACAATCTTGTTGTTTCCAGGTTTGTTATCCATGCTCGTAATCCAGCAATTCAGAAGTGGGGTTGGTAGATCATGAAGAGAGGGGAGCACGGATTTGTGGGATACCCCCCTGCAGAAGCAATGAGGTGAGTGCCTGCATGGGGCAGTAAAGCAAGCAGGTTTCTAACAACCCATCCACATCCAGGGCTTGAGCGCAGCACTTCCCCCAGTTTCCACCCATTAACACACAAAAATACTTACAGCGGTTTTGACCTCAAGGAAACATATGCTAATCGAGCAGAGAACACCTAATCCCCACAGAGCCTTTAAGATGAGATATCGTTAATTATATTACCGACTAATAAAGGGGCCCCAACACTTACAAATGTGTAAGCGGCTACACAGGTCAAGTGTGCATCAGTAAAGTGGGGGTTTTTATTTCAAGCTTCGTGACAAATGAATGAAAGCCATGACACACGATGGCAATTTTAGGGCAACCGTTGCCAGCATCTGTCACCGAAAACAGTCGCCGCATCGTTTTCTATTGTAAAACATTTAGTTACCTGAATCTGGACCAAACCCGAGAGAGGCCGTTTGGCACGAATGGACAACTGGGATGGCAAATACAAATCAGATCACAGACTGAGGTCACATGACTACCTGAGGTTGAGCGTTGTGCAAAACAATAATTTTTTAGGCAAGCACACCCTGCTTTCATTGACCAGACAGAACTCTGACAGGACTCGCCGCTCTACGCCACGAAGTTGCCATGGCTGCTCATAGCGAATGCGCGGCCGGTGACGATTGCCCGTGACGACTGCCCTAAACTTGCCCCTATTGTATCATGCTATTAAATGGGAGAGACGGGTGACCAAGAGGTTGACCTGTCCCACTCTCTGCATTATGGCCGTCAGCTGCTCGGGCGAGAGGTATTCGTCGGCCCCCAGTGTCTCCAGGCAGTCGTAGAAATCCTTCCCAGACATCCGCACCAGCTGGCCCGGGGTCCACACCGCGGGGAATGTGGCCTTGACGTCGGCGCACGTCGGAGCTGAGAAGGAGGAGCACCAGCAGCACAGGGTAAACACGTCTCCAGCGTCGCCTCACCAAGCTAGACAAGGGTTAGGCACAACTCGGGATAGCTGAAATTGGGACGGAATGATACTAGATGAATAATTAAGTCGACACCACAAACACTCCGACCGAAATTCTCTTCACACGGTAATTAATCTGCGCAGTAATAGCGTGATGTGCTATGGTTATCTTGTGTAGGAAATTCGAAATGCCCTGCTTAGATGAAGATGCTATTCCTGAATTTCGTAATACAGTTAATAGATCCATAATAGAAGTTTTTGGGTTAGATCGCGTAAATATATAAATGTGTCGTTAAAACCCGCCACCACCCGACACAGCCAACTAGTAAGGGTTGTCACATAAACAGAGCATGGCCAATTCGTCACTAGTACAGCAACACCGGTGTGTTGGAGAGCCAAGCCACAACATTTACAAACTGAGTACGACGTTTCGCCAGTAATTACAACTAGCTTCATCAGGCAACAGCCAGATTTGTGGAGAAGTCTTACTGTTTCGTTCCTTATATAGAGGCGTAGATGTGGTGACCACCCTTCTGCGCTCTTGCACAATGATGGGGGGGGGGCGGGATTACTGAGACAACGTACATTATGCATGTGCATTATGCGAGCCCTTTGAACTTCTCCTTCCTGTCTATTGTGTTTATTAAAATAGCCCTATCAACGGTAATTCCTATTGAAGTACGCTGCCCTTTGTAGGCGTGCATTTAAATAAAGTTATTATGATTTCTTTCAATTTAGTCTTGGGCAGTAGTAGCTAGTTTTGCACAAAACTTCAACTTTATAAAAATCATATAGGAATAGGTTTTACCCTTTTAACTGGCACAAAAACTGACACCTTTATTCAAGGCATCATGTTTGCAATAACCACAACACAAGCAGTCAAAATGCAAACAAAAAAGACAACTCTGATAATAATATGCACTGTCCTTGAATTTGATTGGTCCACACCCGAGACAGTGCATATTATTATCAGAGTTGTCTTTTTTGTTTGCATTTTGACTGTTTGTGTTGTGGTTATTGCAAACATGATGCCTTGAATAAAGGTGTCAGTTTTCGTGCCAGTTAAAAGGGTAAAACCTATTCCTATATCTTGTTACTGGCAAAGGAGGTCTCATAATGAAAATTATAAAAATCAATTGAGTGTCCTTGTTGGCACGCGTGTTCTGCTACTGCTGACAGCTGCATTTGGGAGAATTTAATATTTCTCTGATGTTCTTTTCGTCTCGTGCTGATCATTCGTCCTGTTTGCCCAGCATAACATTTACCACACGTGCAGTTAATCCTGTACACACCTTCTGTTGATAGTTTCGGTAATACATCTTTTGTACCAGATATTAAATTCTGTATTGTATGTACCGTGCCAAACCTGACTCGGATGTTTTGTTTTCAAAGCCTATCTGTTAAACTGACAGTTAAGAGAACTGCTGTGTATAGTATTATTGTTATTGTGCTTGTTTACCCAGAAAAGTCTTACTGAGTCTCATGACACTTTTTTGGAGGGTCCTGCCAAGTTTTCATAGTAGGGGGCGAAGATTGCTGCGTATAATCCAAATGTGTACTGTACTACTATCAATTCTCAAGCTATACACAGCATGTACTTATCTATCGTATGGCATTTGGTGAATCCATGCTCTTGAATGCCATGCATATCCATACGTTATACCAGGTCTCTCTCTCTCTCATTGTCAACCCCAACCATTACCCCACCCTTTGCCTGTACAAGCCTAGCCTTAGGCCCGAACATTTTAAACTAGGACCCAAATCCAACATTTTCCCAAATGCTTCAGGACATTGGCACGGACAGCCTTTCTGAAACCGGGCAGACCCAGCAGAAACTAGTAAGCTTGGTAGCTTTCCCGATTGCCTATTAAAACCTGCCCGACATACATCTCCACAGTCGGAGCTACCATCTGCAGGCCACCGCCCTCACCTCCACGCTGCCCGTGCTCCATGTGGGAGCTCCGCTCGGCGAGAGCGCGAGCCTTGCTGAGCAGGCCCAGTCGGGCCCTCTCGCCGAGGCGATGCGTGCACGCCCTTCCCACGGCGCTTGCCTCCCAACGCCACTGCGCCCGCAGCACGAACTCCACCACCTCCATACTCAGCACCTCCTGCGGCAGGCAGCGTGGGGGGGTGAGGGGGCAAATTCAAGGACTCGTTGGTTAACCGGACGCACACAGAGAAGTGCTTTTTAATCAGACAGGTGAGATGGCGTATGCCTGTAATTCAGTCACTTGGATGTGGGTTGGTAGCTCCAACAGAGATAGAATTTGTGTGATATATTCACAGGCAGGGTAATGTCTGAGACTGCCATGGCAGAGTGACGGTACAAATCTGCCACATTTTAAAATGACCCACAAATGACAGTACTTAATCGGATAAAACCATATAGCTACATCATCCGCTTACTGGCAAGCTATATCCATCTGTGAAACACAGTGCCTTCACGGGAGCCTCTGTGCCAAAAAATGGCGTGAATATAAAATGTACAAATGATTCATATTATTATAAGAGTCTCTGTATTGTGCAGTGACGTATATGCCACCAGGTGACACCCACCTTGGGCAGCTGGTAGATGTCTTCCAGAGGCAGGGCGAGAACCAACCTCCCCAGCTGCTCCACGGTAGCCAGACTCCACATGTCAGCACCCCTGCAGAAGCAGCACCACAGCGTTCACCGTATGTGGTGGATGGCTAGGACGGACAGAACTTGACCCCCTCAATCTCTCTAACACAGCTTGCATTCAAACACGGCCTCTGCAGAAAAAAAACCCATTTCGAAGCTGGATTCAGGTGATGATTTTATTTGATTTAAAATAAGTCTCGAATGGAATTTACTTCTACTACTACAATTTTTTATTTTACCAGGAAATGCCGGCTGAGTTATATAGCGCTTTTTCAGAAGCGACCTGGCCACAAATGATAGCTCAACACAGTGGCTTATCGCATGTCAATTTTATAGCAGATGTATACTCTAAACGCATGCTTCTAAATATGGAACCAGAGGGTCCTGAGAAAAATCCACACGACCACGGGGAGAGCAACACGCAAACTCCATGTATACAGGCGGTGTTACACATCACTGACCCGAGGGCATCATTCTGCGTGAGGATGAGACCCAGGGCATCAAGCGTTGGGGCCGGGAGGCAGTACCCGTGCAGCTCGCCCAACCGCAACAGCAGCTCTGGGCGAGACATCCTGCGCAACACTTCCTCCTCCATGAAGCCCACGAGGAAGCCCAGCAAGTCGAGGTACTCGCCGCCAATCTGCACAATGGCTGGCAGCGGCTGCAAACGTATGGAGGGAAGGGACGGAGAAGGAAGAGTGTAATTCTCGCCACGGATACTCCATGGGTTTCTCAAACTCCGGTGCTTGCCTCCTACTGTGCTGCAGGCCACAGGCAGTGCCACAGTTTTATAAAAGTGGAGGGGATGACTGACTCGGTGATGGTAAGGCGGGGGGGGGGGGGGTGACTTTGTGAGAGAAGAGATGCCTCAGATGCGGAGCTGTAGCCGAGGAACATGGCATGAGGCAGCTTTTAATAGGCCAGCAAACACAGGTTTAAATCTCCGATTTAGATTGTAGTATTACGGCAACAGCATCTGTCCACTCCCCCCACCCACTCCACTGTGATGCCACCTACGGCACAGGCTTGACATTTGACACATCTGGAGCACGCAACAACGAATAAGGACTTAATTCTCGATTTGAGAAAGGATTGACGGACGTGGAAGAGTGGAGTGGAGGAGGCGAGTGGAGCCAGGAGCGGCTTCTTGGTGTTTGCAAACGTTCTCTGCGTTCGGGTTGTTGCCGCGTGATATTCGGCGGCATTACCTCTAACGTCACGTCCCACGTGCTCGGAGATTCAGACAGGTACTGGGAGTTTTTATCTGTTCCGGGAAGAAGCTCCCGGCGACACGTCGAGCGAAACGTTGCACATCGGGCCGAACGACACAGCGGCACAACCCGAAAACACATCTGAGCGCTGCACAGCACAGCCGCGAAAAAAACGAGAACCCGCGGAGTCGAGTCTTCTGTGCACGTTCCAACGATGTGCGCTTGCTGAAGAAGGGCTCCACCTGCCGAGCGAGAGGCAGCCCTTGCGAGAGCCGCTGCTCGAGCTGGTTTACAATTCAGCCCATTGCTGCTGTTTTACCGCACGACGCGCTTGTTCTAGCCCAGTGGCCCACAGAGTGTGGTCCGCGACGGTCCTCCGGGTGGGGCCGCGGTGGCTGTGATGCAAATGCACAGGTTGATGATCCGGAAATAATTGTTTCGGACATTCATTCATATTTTACTTATGATATTTGATTGAAAAAGGGTGTGAGGCAAACCACCCAGAGCAAACAACCCTAACCCTAAGATCTAAATCCCCCCCCCCCCCACCTTCAAAATAAAAGTTTTAAAATATTTGTATGTTCCGGTAATATGAAGAATTTCGTATCACTGGTATTTAGAGATAAGTGAATGTGTTTTGTCACCATGAGTAGGGGGCTTGGTGGTCCGTGGAAATGTTTTCTTCTTTCGCACCGTACATAGCCAACCGTGCAAATCGACGGTGTGGGGGAAGGACAACAAACTAAACACAAAAAAGCAGTTTTTAAAAAATGTGTGAGGCTCTAGCGCAAATTTCCCCTTTTGCCCCTTGCCCTTGGCGGCCCCTTTTTGCTGGACATCTCATCTTGTAGTCCACTGCTGCGATGCTCTAATATTCAACTTCCGTGTCAGCATGGGCCCATGTGGTGGGCAAGGAGCTGAAGCTACAGAAGTGTGAATGTCTACTCGATGTTACCGCTCACAGCTGAGAGCTGGAATAATAAGAAGGGCGTAAAGCTGTTTGGTTCTTTAGCTGGTGGCCAGAGCACGATTGGGACACGTGTGCACATTTCCTTTGCTCAGGAGCAATCGCTGGAGAAATTATGTGAAGAAAAAAATAGCACTGTGCTCACCATCTGCTCCAAGATTGTTTTTGTCAGCTGCCTCTGCTTGGACGGTTCCAGATTGAGGAAGTGAATTTGGTTTTGGGTGATGATGTCCACAGCCATCTTGAATGCTTTGCTGGGAAATGAGGACAACGTTTTCATCCTAAACAGTAAAACACAAAACATTGCACCGTTATTAGATTATAATATAATAATAATGACTACTATTATTTTAACCAGTATAATTACTATGTTGTACATATTGATTAAATGTTTATTCTATGGTGTCAGAGCAATTGTTAGCTGAAGATACGAATGAATGAAAATCTGCATGAACAAGGAACATCAGAAAAAAACATGCTTATTATACCTGTGTCAGCAGTGGTACACAAGCACCAATAACAAACCCACAACACTTCTGAATAACACTGTCCTAAAGATAAAATATTAGGCAACATTTCGGGCAACGGCCCTTCTTCATGGCAGTGTTATTGATGAATGCGCTGAATGAACACTGGATATTTTTTCACGTGATATATTACTGTTTCAAAAAATATTGTCTATATTTTATCTTTATGTCACTTACGGCAATTCCATGACAAGCTGAGGTCCCATCAAGATGATTTCTTCCACGGTTATTTCAGATTTGTTTTCAATCCAAGCCACAATGCACTTGCACTGTGGACATTTAGAAAAGTCATGTGTAAATTGAGGCCACGACAGCCTTCATAAACCAACATTCAGTCATCAGCTATGCCCATGCGAGACTCTCACCAGAGATGTCCTGACCACCTCCGCCACCAACAACAGGTGATGCACCAAACCCATAAACTCAGGATCCTGGGAAAATTCCATCAAAGTCTCACAGTCCACACCTTGAAAAACCGTCCCCAGAGACCTGGGTGAACAAATATATATGTTATTGTCACACTGTTCATTCATGTATTGACAATGTCACATTTTACCTAAGTTCGGCTGAACAACGTGGCTCTCAAAAAGGATTTCATTAGCAAAGAGGTTTTATTTTAATGATGGTGCTTTGTCATGCTGTTCATATTTCCAGAACCAACGCGAGAACAAGGATAAGCAAATGCACAAATAATAAATAACAACAATGAAATCTGCTTTCCATCGTGCAAGTTAGTTTAATGAGAGTGCATGAGCTGACCTGGAGATGTGCATACGAATATTGAGCAAAGTGATTGGTTGTGATTCCTCACTAAAGACGCCTACTGACAGACAACTCAAAATAAGCATGAGTGTCATTTTGTAGAATTATAAATAACAAAACAAATATGCAGACGACACGTCCGCTTTACACATCCATCTTTTTCGATAAACAATTCAAAGTAAATCTTAGCCAGCCCCTCAGCCTCACGGCCTTCTGGGAGCGGATGGCCACTCCTGGAAGGGAGATGTTATTGTCTGCTGCTGATAGACAAATAAATTACAATATTTTTCCAATCATTATAAAATATTTTAAAATGTTTACTTTAATCATCATATTATGATATACTGAAACATGTTCTTTGTTTGTCCATTATTTACCTTTTATTTGCCTATACTTTGCACTCCTATCGTGTTTGTGTATTGTTTGTTGTTTTAACGTTCTGACCCGCCCCTACTGGACATCTGTGAAAAAAGAGCATTAGAGCTCATCGGATTTCTCCAGCATAAATACATGTTATGATTCTGACAAGGCAGAACAATGATGAGCCGCTGTGCAGGTGCATGGCCACGGTGGATATATGACACCGAATCATCGCTGATCCCTTACAGTAAGATCCCTTACAGTATAAATTCCTTTTTCAGTTTTCCACTGTGCCCCTTGAGAATCCTTCTGAAAAGGGACTGTGCCTGCAACAAAAAGTTCAGAAAAAACGAACGTTATATATAAACACAACAAAACATAAATAGCGAGTGAGCACTGGTGCCATCATCATCAGCCATGAATGATCTACAGCTGGATCATGGCCTTTCTATCACCATTACCATCCATCACAGTCTTGTGATGCAACAATCCAACAATCACTGCTGCCACACAGCCCCAGAGCGGGCACTGACTCCTGAATCTACCTGCTTGGAAAAAGGGGCCCACACACACCTGGTGAGGAGTCCAGTTTATGTCGGCGAGTGCCGGAAGCCTGGCAGCATGCGCCGGGTAGCGGAAGTCCAGGTCAACCAACGGCAGATCAGACAGCAGGAGGCCGAGTCGCGCGATCCACTCCAGGCAGTCGATCTTGGAGCGCTGGGGTAAAGTCAAAGGATTCAGCATAGACCCTGTGGTGTACCGCCCAAGAGTGCACCGCTTTACAAGATTAACTGCTTTTACAATGTGTCATATGATACAGAGTTGGCCGGGTGGTTCAGACACTGAGCGGGCACCACTGGGATTCTGGGTTGGGTTCCAGGGAACCACTGCGTAATTAAGTATGGTGATTATGATCAATGACTTTGAAAAAAAGCATCGCATTACATTTGTTTCTTCATGTAAATAGGCTCATTCCAGCTATGAGACATAAACATTCAGGTTTGATTGGTATGTGATGACCTTTGCAGGTGATCAAAAGATGTTCCCCTCGTGTGGATAAAGAGGTCTATTGTAGTAGTTTCTGTGACGCCAACTTTGTCGGGCTAATTTGTGATTCGAGGTGAAGGGCCCATTCAGACGAAGGCCTATTTTGCGAGGGAGACTTGGGGGGGGAAAGGAAATCCTGCCGTGAATGAACAAAAGAGCCAGGTGAGGGAGGCCGACCCTAAATAGTTGTTTTTCATTATTGTTTTTTTTGCGACTCAACACGAGCGCAGTACAAAGCACCGGTCACAGTACAAGGGGGGAGAACAGAAACTCTGTGACCAAAAATCCGAGATTGGCGGCGCAAGGGCCTAACGAGGTTGGGAAATTCTGTCTCTCTGACCCCCACCCAAGTGGGGACCCACGGGCGAGAACAACGGGGAGCATGCTGACCCTGAATGTTGAGATGATGGCCGTCCTCTGTGCGGCACGCAGGCAGCCAGCGTGGGGCCTCACCGCCGGCCAGCCCTGGGTGAGGGCCGCCGGGGGCAGAGTGCGCAGCACAGATGGCGGGAGCCCACACACCAGGCTGCCCAGCTGCCCCACGACCTGCGCCGTCAGCTGGGCGAGAAGAGGCACACACGCTGTGTGAGCACAACTTTGGCGACCTTGAATAATCATCATCAATTGTTATTCTTTGGCATCATTATCATCAGTGCTGAGTAATCCACTGCTGAATTGAGGTCTCCCCAACCGTTACCATTTCTTGCTGTCCTGGGAGGTAACAATCTATGCCTTCAGGCGTGCTCCCTCCTTTGGCTGCCACTCTCTCGTTAGTGTCGACGCCGAGGCCTTACTGGTCGGACATTCCTCCTATCTTGATTCACTTAAATTCGACCACATGTGGTATCATAGGTTCAACACGAAACAATGTTGGCAATTATACTAACCTAAATAATAAGCACTATCCAAGTTAGTTAACAAAACATTAAACCTGCTTGAAATCAATCTCTCTGCATTCAGTGCAGTGGTATAAATGGTGTTTCAAAACGGCTGCAGTGAACGCCTCATGTAACGAAATAACATTTCTTACTTGTCTCTCGTGAATGAATTTTTCAGCAAGCACTCGAGCCTGCAATACAATACATACCATACGTTCAAAATAAACAGATGCACACACACAAATACGCACACGTGTAAAAACATTTAACGGGGTGGTTTCAAATACATTATCATTAAATGTTTCCTATTGTCCCACCCTCCCTCTATCCTTGGTCTTTCCATAGCATTCTAGATTTGAAGCTTTCGTGACTGCAAGGATTCATACTCTTTGTTTTTTTTCGGTAAAGTCACGTTGGTAAAATAAAATAGAACAATGAAATCACGACGTTTCGAAGGCAACACAAGCTTCCGTCTTCAGGTGGAACAGTCACAGCAGAATTTCTGTGTCAAGTGCACAGTTCCGAGACGACTTGGATTATATATAGGTCAGGGGGGGGGGGCAGAAAGGGACGTGGGTGGGTGGGAGGGCTGAGTTAAGCCGCCTTTTGTTAAACGGCACAAACGTGGGTAAACAACCTTTTTGGGTTTTTTTTTGCGGCCGGGTTTTTTCGGGGGGAGGCGATGCAAGACATCAAGTACAGACCAATTTTTTAAACCTAAAATGGAAACTACGTAAATAGCATGTTGGTTATACGCCTTTTCTTCCATATTTAAATATTCATCTTCCTCCCTACACACGCGAGGTCCCCACTTGGCTGGGGCAGCAGGGCCTAAACCCCCTCTTCCTTCCCCTGTCGTGTGGTTCCATCGTGCCGGAATCTATTGTCGCGTTGTACCGGGTTCACGTTTTGTTGCAATGAAGAACATTTTCCAATTGTTCTGGAAACACAAGTGCTGGCCTCAGAGAGTGCACGGCGATAACAAAGTTAAAAACACTGTCAAGTTCACTCCAAGTCTGACATTCGCCAGTCCTGCAGACCTCTATCAGCTGCAGAGGCGCTGGAGCAGTGCCCTGCCCCAACCAAATGTCATTTTGACCCCAGCCAAGTTCACTCCGCTTCGCAGTGAATCAATTCCTATGGTGAGCCGCCACACACAACATTCTAGGCCCCCACCCCCCAACATCTGAGAGCAACTGGAGCTGAGCCTGGTAGGGACTCGCCCCGAAATGTTTCCCATCACTCTCTCACAGAACAGCAACAACGCCTCGTGACGCGCCACACAAATGCCACCAGCGTGAGGCAGTAGCCGCGTGACCTCTGCTCAAAACGAGGTGCCACCTTCGGTGCACTCTTGATTCCAGCACCATGACTGGAACAGACATACCCTAATTAAAATATAATTTACAAGAAGCCGCTCGTCAGACCTCAGGGTCGAGGCAGGTTTTGAACGTGGATGGTGCTTGGACGGGTGGCCATCATGCATAAGACAAGGTGTTTTGGGCTAATGGGGGAGGACTACAATATGAGCAGCAGAGGGCAGCAGAGAGTAGTGCAGCAACACCCATTATTGCTCCCGCGTCTATGCTTGCAGCATTCACGAACCCACGCTGACCAGCGGGATTGAAGTTATGGTAAAATCCCCCCTTCCCCCACAACTCGCACGGCATGGGGAGGCCCTCATCCACCGGTCGAATGAACAAAAAGCGCCGCACATGTAGCACGCACAACAACACCGAAACAAACACGGGCATGTTACATGATAGGCACACCGAAGGCGGAACCGACCTGTGCCGGAGCGTAGGTGATCGAGTTGATGTGGCGAGCGCTGGCTTGCACCAGCTGGCTGGGCAGCTGCTGCGTATACGCCAACCCCAGGGCTGGCAGGAGGTAGGCCATCTCTGCCAGATCATCCTGCGTCAGCTCTGTGGCCACAGCGACGCCAAGGTTCTTGGCGATGAAGAACGCGAGCTGCACGGGGGAATAGATGGCAAAAGGGCCAAGAGCCAGAACTCGGGCACCACAACTCCCTTTTGCACCGTGCATAGCCACCCGTTGCTAATCAGAGTTGCGGGGGAAAGGACAACAAACGATGGGTCACTGCGAGTCTCAAGGTCTCTGTGCGAGTCGACGCATGTATGTTGAACTTGTTGCGCACCGTTTGTAGCCAACCGCGCTAATCGGAGGTGCGGGAGAAGGACAACAAACTAAACACAAAAAAGCAGTTGTAAAGAAATTAGTTTTCAATCTACATTTAAAAGTGCATAGCTCCAGTGGCTTCCGAATATCGGAAGGAAGAGCGTTCCAGACGGCCGCAGAAGCGCATCTGAAAGCGCGCGATGCAGTGAACCTCTTTCCTTCGACGGCTATCCAAAAGCCGCTGCGAGAATGACCGGAGGTCGGATGATGCTCCTTGAGAATGGACGTGCGGTCAGGGGAGGCAGAGCTTCATCTGTCGCACTCCAATGAAAATAGCTGTTACAAAAAGTTAATAAAACACTAAAATCAAATGTAAGATTTTTCCCCTGATCTGTGTTATAAATGTAATTTCTGCATGATTCCAATCATGACTGTGAGATAGTAACCGGCACGCGCTTGTAGCCCGCGCTCCATCCAGTTCCTGAGGGGTTGCGCAATCATAAGGTGAGGCTGAGCTCGTCGCTGCCTCACCTCTCGTCTCTCCCTGCGTTTGCAGCGGAGCTCCGCAAATTTGTCGACTGTGACTATAAAAATGATTGGAATCATGCAGAAATGACATAACACAGATCAGTGGAAAAATCTAAATTTTTATTTGATTTTTTTTTTTAGTTTTCGAAACAGCTATTTCCATTGGAGTATGACAGCTGAGGCTCTGCCTCCCCTGCCTCCTCTGACCGCACGTCCCTTGTAACGATATACGGCAAAGGTATTGCGGTTCATTTGTGGCAAAAACTTTGTGTGTAATGAGTGCGACCTTATAACGTATTAGTTCGGCACTGGACGGACGTGGTTTTACGATCACGTGTTGTGAACAAAGTCGGGTCCACACGTGAACGATCGATTGATCGATGGCGCAACATAGTTGTATGCAACTGACTCGCTTATACGTGGACGTCTCTGTAACTGGTTCGGAGCAGTTGCACAACCGGTTGCTCACGCCTGTAACTGTGGGGACGTGGGTTGGTGGATCACACAAATGTTGCGTAACGGGCCGCTCATAAATGACGTCACGCGATTTTTTACGATTTTTGACCCCCCCCCCCCTCGTCACACGGCGTTACAAAAAGTCGGACCCCCCCTCAAATATGACGTCACAAAGCTCTACCTACTTCCATTTTGAAATAAAACATCCTTCCAATCGCTTTGGACTATTGTCATTGTAGTGCGATTTTAATGTGGCGCTGCACTCTGATGTTGTAGGAGTGTTGTTATAATAATTCTATATTTATTGCAAGTTGCGCATTTTGATGTGACGTCATATTTCTAAAACCCTCCCTCCCTCGTCACACATCGTCACAAACGTCTGACCCCCCCCCCCCCCCTTGGTGCGTGACGTCATTTATGGACGGCCCCTAACCACTTCCCTTAAGGCGTCGAGGTGCCATATTCTGGCTTGCCTTAAAGGAGGCAGGTACCGCAACGTGTGGACTGATGCCCCCTCGCACGTGTGGGCTTTCTCTGGGCACTCCGGTTTCCTCCCACACGTATACACACTCGTCATTAATTGTCTGAAAACATCTCAATTGATATGCCGCCTCCACGTGTTGTGGATTGTGGTGCAGCGTTGTGCGATGCTCTTTGCATGACTGACGCCCTTTATATAAATGCTCATTATTATGAGGAGAGATGGACTCTCACTCTCAACTGATCTGTTCGGCGATTTATAGTGACGTATTCCATTACGTGCTGCTCGTTAAGTTGCGCGACTTTGAGAACAACCTGGTTGTGCAACTGATCGCTCGGGTTGCGAATCCGGCTTTACACTCGCTAGGAGCTGCTTGTGAATCGCCTCCATACCTTGCCGTCAATGTCAATGGCGCCCTTCTCTATGCAGGAGATCAGGGCTTGAAGGACGCTCCGGAAGACGGGTTGATTCCCCATCAACTGCGCCAGGTCCTCTGTGTTTGTGTAACACAGCACCCTGCCAAACCTACACGGCGAGACGCTACACTTTTGAAACTGCACGTGGTTGCAGCGGCCATACACGTAAAAACACAGACACTCACCGCTGCTTCAGTGTGAGAAAAAGTGACCAAACCAGCAAATCACACTTTTGAAACTGCACGTGGTTGCAGCGGCCATACACGTAAAAACACAGACACTCACCGCTGCTTCAGTGTGAGAAAAAGTGACCAAATCAGCAAATCAAAGTACCATGAATGTGCGTGTTCTCATCAGATTTCGGAAGATAAATAGGTATGAGCCTGGTTAGTAATTAGATGGGAGACCACAGCAGGGAACACCAATGATGTGGACTTGGGCTGCGAGATCGCTGCATGGAAGTACAGCAATGGATTCTTGAATCCATCTGTATGAAGTTTTGAGAGTTACCCCCCCCCCCCCCCCCCACGTGCTTAGTGGAATTGGCCACACATCGCAATGCAGGACCCTCCATACTTCGAGCGCTGGAACTCAGTGAGGCTTTCCTGGACAGTATGTTACCTCATTTGTAATAAACGAAACAAAACCTATGGAACGACATGTAGGCGTGCATCGTGGGGACACGCTGCAGCTATCTGAGCTGTGGCTTACGCACACCACTTATCATTTTCCATCTCGCCGTTGAAACCCCCGACGTCGCACCTGTGGACGTCTCTCTCCGTGAGGTTGCCGGTGTTGCCGTTGAGAGCCACGTGGCTCACGTGCCGCCAGTGCGCCGAGTCCGCCGAGCTGCTGCCCAGCAGGCTCACCACCGACAGCACCTGCAAGGTTTGTGGGGCGGTGGGAGGGAATGTCCCGGAGTCGAGCAGCGAGCGTCAAGAAAGACAAATCCTTGGTTGTTTCGGTAAAGTCCCGTAGAAGGGAAACAATAAAATAATCAAATTTTCTTGCCGTGGTTTTCACACCTGATGATGATTGCTTGTGTTGCAGTCGAAACGTCGTGAGAATTTTATTGTTTTATATTTTTATTATTTTATTGTTTCCCTTCTACGTGACTTTACCGAAAGAACCAAGAATATGAATCCCTGCAGTCACGAAAGCTTTAAATCAAAAGAAAGACATAGGCGGAGAAGTGTTGTGACCCGCGGCGCACTCAGCCTTTATTCGAATGTGTAAATATCGCCCTCGATAGAGTAAGGCAGCGATGCACATTGCAGCAGAACGGCAACGGTACAGGGGGCATGGAACAACAGGAATGAGAAAAGAAACCCACCACGACCACAGCGGCTATCACAGACTGAGCGAAGTAAATTACAACAGCGCGCAATATAAAGTGCAACCGTGCGCAAACTAATCGCAAAAAAAAATAAGTAGCAAATTCAATAAATAGTAAATAAATGTTTTTTACCTTCTTACATTTTTCATTTAGCGTGTTCAACAAGCCCACGCATTTTTTTTTAAACAGATTGCGGTGCCCGATGTAGAGGCTGGTGCTATATTCATACAGCGTGCTCACCTGCTGGTCGGTGAGTCGCACCAAGTACCCTATCGGGAGGCTGGTGCGATATTCATACAGCGTGTTCACCTGCTGGTCGGTGAGTGGCACCAAGTACCCTATGGGGAGGCTGGTGCGACATTCATACAGCGTGCTCACCGCTGGTCGGTGAGTCACACCAAGTACCCTATGGGGAGGCTGGTGCTATATTCATACAGCGTGCTCACCTGCTGGTCGGTGAGTGGCACCAAGTACCCTATGGGGAGGCTGGTGTGACATTCATACAGTGTGCTCACCGCTGGTCGGTGAGTCACACCAAGTACCCTATGGGGAGGCTGGTGCTATATTCATACAGCGTGCTCACCTGCTGGTCGGTGAGTGGCACCAAGTACCCTATGGGGAGGCTGGTGCGACATTCATACAGCGTGCTCACCGCTGGTCGGTGAGTCACACCAAGTACCCTATGGGGAGGCTGGTGCTATATTCATACAGCGTGCTCACCTGCTGGTCGGTGAGTGGCACCAAGTACCCTATGGGGAGGCTGGTGTGACATTCATACAGTGTGCTCACCGCTGGTCGGTGAGTCACACCAAGTACCCTATGGGGAGGCTGGTGCTATATTCATACAGCGTGCTCACCTGCTGGTCGGTGAGTGGCACCAAGTACCCTATGGGGAGGCTGGTGCGACATTCATACAGCGTGCTCACCGCTGGTCGGTGAGTCACACCAAGTACCCTATGGGGAGGCTGGTGCTATATTCATACAGCGTGCTCACCTGCTGGTCGGTGAGCTGCACGAAGTAGCTGATGGGGAGGCTGGTGAGCAGCGGCGCGAGTGACTCGAGGAACTGCGGGGACCAGCCGGCCACGCCGCCGGGCCGGCGTGCGACGCGGCGCGCTAGCGCCTGCCTCTGCTCCTTGCGCAGCACCGAGCAAGACGCCAGCGCCGCGGTGAGGCTGCGGCCGTCACGCGGGGCACAAGGCAACGCTCGCTTAACCGCCGGCACCGCGGGGGCTGCCGCGATGTCACTTTTTCACGATCCGATTTGAAACGTTCGGAACGTGACGCCGTGAAACAAAGTTGCTTAATCCGGTTAGGGCGCGAGGCTCACGATCATAAGGTGATCGCGAGTTTAAATCCTTCTTTGGAGTTGACTCACCTCATCATCCTTCTGGGGTCGATACGATGAGTACCACTTTGTGGAGAAGTCAACAGTGGTTGGCCTATAGCTAGACTCGCCCCTGCCATGGCAATGTAGAATTTCCACCACTGACTCAGAGCTGTAAATGGGATATGAGCACTGGCGGCTTAATGGTCATTTGAGCAAGACATCACTTTGACGATGCTACAGTAATTTAGACGATGCTACGGTAATTTGTGCAATATGGCGCCATGAAACTATTGCAACTATAGCTATTTTTCGGAAGCGACCTGGCCACAAATGATAGCTCAACGAAGTGGCTTATCACTCTTGGTTTTGAAGCTTTGAGGACTGCAGGAATCCATACTCTTTGGTTCTTTCGGAAAAGTCACGTAGGTAGAAAAATAAAACAAAATAAAAAAATAATATACCACGACGTTTCGATCGCAACACAAGCGGTCGTCCTCTGGCGGAAAAAAATAATCCAGCTGTTACAACAAGGTTACACATAAATATATAACCTTGATGTAACATAATCCAGCTGTTGATAATCCAGCAGTGGAACTGCTGAACCAGCGAGAGAGCTGTTACAACAAGGTTACACATATATAACCTTGTTGTAACAGCGAGAGAGCTGTTACAACAAGGTTACACATATATAACCTTGTTGTAACAGCTCTCTCGCTGGTTCTGCAGTTCCAATGCTGGATTATTATTTTTTTCCACCCGTGGAGGGAAAAACTGGAGGACCCGGAGAAAAATTCACACGTCCACGGGGAGATTGACATGCACACTCCAAATATACAGGAGGCGTCAGGGTCGGTATTGAACCCACGACCTGCTGTATACCAGGCGAGGTAATTAACATCTCGCCACCGCGGCACCAATGTCGTGCTGCTCTCCGAGCGCGCAACAAACTCACACACTGGGGCTCTCGAGCAGCGCGGCCGGTAAGGCGGTGATGTCGGCGGGACTCAGGTACGGCAGCAGCTGCACCATCTCCAGGAAGATGTCCTCCGTGAGGTTGTGGAAGCGGCGCAGCAGTGCGCCGACCATGGGCTTCAGCAAGTGATCCGAGCGTTCCTCCACCTGTGTGAAGGCCAGCGCAAGCACTCGCGGTTCATTAGGCAAACTTTAATCTTGCACAAAAATGTATCTCTGATTATTATTTACTTTTCTAACCATATTTAGAATGCAAATTTGCTATTGGCCATCTGCTATTCTTTCAAGAGACAATTGCTCAATTCTCAGCCTCTCTATCAACACAAGGGGCATACCATTGGTATACCCTGCAAAGAAATGTCATTGTAAATCAAACTGAAATGTTAACTTCTCGGAGGTCAAATAAGCTATGATGTTTTGACTTGACTGCGACGGTCAACATTACGCACTTGAGGATCCAGTTGAATCGTGGGTGGCTGCCCGGATTTTAATTGATGATCACAGTGGTGCCACCTCAGCCTTCTGTCGTGGCCGCCTCGCCACAACTTGAACATTGTCTGTCCACTGTTGCGAACGTGTGCCTCAAAACCAGTACAGAGTTTGATTGTACGTGCAGTCCTCGACTTGCGAACGCCCGACTTCCAAATGGGTCTCAGGAACGAATTAGCTTCGTAAACCTAGGACTGTCCATACTGAATCAATGCTGCTGAAATGATGCACTCCCAGACGGCTATGGAGCAGTGATTTGCGTAAAATAATACTTGTACGTGTAGAGACGAACATTTGAAGGAGACATTGCCTGCTTATCTATTTTGTATACTCCACAGCGACGCCACTCATTGTTTTGCGTCATGCGAAAAATGTGTGGTGTACGTACGGAGAGGTCGTGCCAGGCCTGGCGCAGCTCGGAGAGGAAGTATCGCACGGTCAGGTCATCGCTGGAGAATAGCACCGTCTCCATCGCGTGGCTGGGCAGGCGCAGGTACTCCTGACACCAACCGGAACCCAGCGCACGCAATCAACAGCTGGACACTGTCGAAGCCAAGTTTCGGCTTTAGTGCCGCCCTGGGAACTATTGCTGCCTCCCGCTCTAGACATGTCCGGTTGTGGCTGCCGAAGAGTGCCCTAGCCAGTGTTCTATGCAAGCTGCGTGCTTGTCCTCTGTGAGGCATGGATTACGCTAGAGCGGCTAATGCCGGTGAAATGTTTTTTTAGTCGATGGCCACTTTGCGTGACAGTATATGCTTTTGGGCAAATGTGATAATAACAACACAACACAGTGATCCTCGGGTTAGCCCTATGACCGTTTGACTGTTGTTAGCAAGTGCACATTCATGCTGGCATCACACAAGAAAATGTCGTAGGGCCATCGTCATGCATCAGTGCTGAGGTTTCAGTCGCTACATGAGGTCGTATTTTAGGTTAGGTTAACTTATAGGAGATGCAGACAAGGTTCAGATACCATGTATGGCCATGAACTGAGAACTGTGTGCTAAACAGCCCAGCTTATGTGCATACACACGATCACAGTATACTGACGCATACACACACTACGTGGAGATCATCTTTGTCAATAACCTTATGAATGGGTACTAAAAAGACCAAGCTCAGGTCCAAAGATCACACCAACTCAAGCAACAAAGCGTTCCACATGCTGAGAACTTCAATTCATATGGCAGCTCCCCAGCACGTGGAGCAAAACGTCGGACATTGTGCACAACAGCACGCTGCATGGCCCGCAACACACAATCGTAGAAGAAATGGCACTTCAATCAGCTGGAGGGCGGCAAGTTATCCTCAAAGATCCTTTGTTTTTCCCAAAAAACCTAAACCGGATCTCAGAGAGCCATGCAGTAGAGCTTACTATATTTAGCGATTCGCATGGTTGGCTACGTAGGGTGCGAAAGAAGTTCAACATACATAGGTAGACAATCGTGCTAAGGGGCCGTCCATAAATGACGTCACGCACCTGGGGGGGGGGTCAGACATTTGTAACGATATGTGACGAGGGGGGGGGGGTTTGAGAAATCTGACGTCACATCAAAATGCGCAACTTTAAGTAAATATAGACAACACGTTCTATTTAATTAAATAGACTTTTTTTATAAATGTGTTCTTCTACAACATCAGAGTGCAGCGCCACAATAAATACGCACTACAATAGTTTAAAGCGATTTGAAGCATGTTTTTTTTGGGGGGGGGGGGGCAGAGCTTTGTGACGTCATATTTAGAGGGGGGGGGTCTGACTTTTGTGACGCCGTGTGACGAGGGGGGAGGGTCAAAAATCGTCCAAAATCGTGTGACGTCATTTATGGACGGCCCCTAATCAGAAGTGCGATCGAACGGATAGCACGCGCGATATACGTCACCTGCAAAAGGAAGAGAATTTCCGAGGAGTTTTCTGCGTAAAACATTAAATTCCACAAAGTACCCTGTGGGGGGGAAAAAAACCCCAATGTGAGTCAAGAGAGATGTTAATGCTCACGCCATATACATTACATTACCAGAATACAGCACAACTTACACACCACAACAAGTGGGGAGATGGAGTGGGGAGATTACCGCTGCACGGAGATCGAAAGATCCTTCGAGCCGATTTTATTATTCCTAAAAAATTGAAGATGTTACTTACGACCATGAACCGTGACCCAATCACTTTGGTTGCACATGATATCGTCGGATCTTGGAAGCTCAGTAGAGTTGAGCTTGGTTAATACTTGGATGGGTGACTCCCTGATAACACCAAGTTATGTAGGTTTGGGCTACAAGGGGTGGCCTGGAGATGCCAGTATAGTAATGAATGTTTTAATATATCTGTGTGGTGGAGCTTTGAGTGGTTTGCCTCACATGTATGGCTTCTCTTCAGGCACGGCTACTTCAGTTGCTTCCCACATGTCAAAGACTCACTGATGGAACTGGCCAATCATCCCAATGCAGAACCATCCAAAAAGTCTAATCTCAAAACAAAGTGAGGCTTTCCTGGGTAACTTAGGGGTATTGTTATTATGCTGCATTATATGTACGTTCACTTCTTTCACACCGTACGTAGCCAACCGTGCGAGGGAAGGACAGCGAACTAAACGCACACACAACAACAACAACAAATCATAGCAACAAAACGACGACGCAACACAACTACAATTCCTTGTAGGGGAAACAAATACTAATTAATAACAATTGAATGATTACCAATCTATTATATAATGACAATAACCTCCCCCTCTCCGCCTCAAATCACTGCACCAGATTGGGTTAAATGATGACGTCACCGTGCTGCTCTATTTAAGGCCGGAGCAAGTGGAGGGCTTCACTATTCTGGCAAATTGCCCGATGATGCTGGATGTAATTACCAGCGAAACGTCGTACTCAAAATTGTAAATGATGTTGATTCACTCTTCAACACACCGGTGGGCTAAAGTAGTGAACTATTTTGTTTTTTGTAAACGTTACACCTTTTTTTTTTACTGTTTGGCCGTGTCGGGTGGCGGAGGGTTACGACACATTTATAAATAACGCGATCTAACCCAAAAACCTTTATTATGAATACTATTGGTCGCGAAAGCCTACGTGTTACACATGTAGCCAGCCGAGAAAAAAAAAAGCAAGACCCACCCCAAAGCAGGACAGCAGCTGGTAGCCCTTGTCGGGAGGAACGCTGTGCAGGAAGCCGCTGATCGACTGGAGGATGCTGAGCGAGGCAGTGGGCTTGGCGTACGCCTGGAACGCGTTGCTGCTCAGCAGGCTGAGCAGGAAGATGGCCTCGTCGATGTCCTCCACCAGCTGCTGCCCAATGTCCTCGGTGGCGAGACGCAGCCAGGCGGTCGCGATCTCGGGCTCGGCGGCGAAGCCCGTGCCGTCGCTCCAGACGAGGGACACCAGGTTTTTGAGCAGCGATGGCAGCCTCACGCACGTTTTCACCGAAGAGTCTTGCCTGGGGGGAGACTCCCTCGCGTTTTTGCCCCCGACGGACGTGTTACGGGGCAGACGGTTCCGTCTTAGCGGACCGTGGTAAGTGTCCGAGCCGTTGTACGCAAGTGAGTCGAGGCCACGGGCAAGAGCCTCCTCCCCTTGGGTTATATTTGTCGATGCAATGGTGGTAGAATTGGGTACGGAGAAGTGTGTCTCAGTTGTGTCATTGAAACCTCTTGAAATAAACTTCCTTATGGTGTCAGTATGTGCCGACAGTGCTCCCGTGGACATGTTGGCTACCAGGTGGGCCATGGTGGTTTCTGCTTGAGGGCTTCTGCAGAATGCGTTCAGCCACGAAAGGTCCGTCTGTAAGTTATCAAGGAGGCTATTGTTTGCACAGAAAACATTTCGTACTGCCCACCACATGTAAACGTTGCAGATTTCAACGACGTTGTAGCTGAAGTTGCGTTTTGCGACGACGTTCAGGTCCTGACAGTGCAAAGTAATCTCTTCTAGTTCCTTCACAAAAAACTCACTGCCGGAATTTGTTGTGACGTTACTTTCCCGATTGCAGTATTTAACCAGGACAGAGACATTGTAATCCGTGGGATGAGGGTAGGAGCAAATGGCGCTGATGAAACGTGCTGGGCTTTGATCGAAGCAAAAGTCTAAGACACTGAATCCAAACGGCTTCACAAACCACAGTATGTTGTCGCATATGAAGCCGCTTTCCGTTCCTCCGTGTACCTTCTCGCGCTGCAGGTAACTGCAGCGAGCTTGCAGCCAATGACCAGGGCTAGTGCTGGCCTCCGAAAAACCGTCCCCATTGCAAATCGACTCGTTGAAACGAACCAGACTGACCCAGCCGCACGTGTACACAATGCCAAAGTGTTCTGACATGTCCGACATCCGGGAAACATTTCGACACGCTGCAAAGGCATCCTCGAAGTTTGCGTCGCTCATGACAGCGCTGAAGACGCTGCAGTAAACGGACTGGGCCATGGAGCCCGAGTAAGGTGACTCTCTACCGCACTGCTTTTTCACAGTCCTCTGCCCCTGCGCTTGGTCGTTGTCAAAGAACTTGGAGGCAGAACGGGGCCCCTTGGCGAGGGAGTCGCGTGTGTGCTGATCCGGGCTTTCGGAAAGTGCTTCGTCATCGCAGGCGGCAAAGAGCAGCAAGGAAAGGAGATCCTGGAGACTGAAGCCCATCCCTTGGTGGTCCCAGGTGATGTTATTCATTACACCCCTGGCGGACATCCAAACAAGATGAACAAGAAAAAAACAGGGGAAGGACACTCCAGGCAAATCCAACACATGTTGAACCTGGCTGCAAGTGCAAGCAGGGGTAAATAATGCCAATATACTGCACAATGTATTTCGAATTACTCAATGACTTTATGATAAAATGTTTTTTAAGTGGTGTATAAATGAACCTACCAGAGAAGCAGCTGTCTTAAGTCAGCTATAACAAAAACAGAAAACAAACATGGCTTTAATTATTTGACAAATTGCAATACAGTATTTCACATTATGCATATTAAATTATGCTTTACAATTTGTATTGAAACAATGCATGAGTATACAGCGAAAAATTAAGCAAAACGTGAACCCTTCTGCATCTCCCCCCACACTCACCAACCCACACTCAGCAGCATGGTAAAGGATGGTTAGTCAACCACCATGACCAACGAGGCATGGAGGTGCCTTGATCTATCAGTGGATTGATGAAGGGCTGTAAATGATTATTATTATCATGACTATTACAGCGTGGAACAATTGGACAAAATACCCTGGAGAGGGGCGCTCTAGTGGAGGCCCTTCCACCAGCAGTAGCTTGAGCAAACAATTGCAGAGGCTGCACCTGTACCGGTTACCAATACATCGAACAGTGCCAATTATTGCACGCATTTATCGCGTTCTAAAAACTGACATTCAATTACGACCTGGTTTTACCCTTTTTTTTCCTGGATCCACGCTCTCACCTTCTTGGCAGAACTGCCGAGGATCCTGCTGCTGCTGCATGCCCAGCGTGGAAGCGGCCTCCTCCAGCAGGAAGCTGTTCACCTCCTCCATCTTCTGCACCACGCGCCTGTAGAGGCGCGTGCCGATCTGGTCCATGAGGTTGCCCGGGAGGCTGCGCAGGTTGTCCATCTCGGCGGTGTCGTAGCCCAGCACGGCTTGCATGAAGCGCCCCGCCGACGACACGGCCTGCAGGGTGCTGCCTTGCACGCCCAGGACGCTCAGCATGGGCGTCACGGTGTTGAACATCAGCTGCAGGTCTCCGCTGCTCGTCACGGCTCGGGACAGGGCCTCCAGGAAGCCCACGGGGTCGCCGCGCACGTCCACCTTCAGGTTGTTCCTCAGGAAGGAGCTGAGGTTGCTCCAGGTCTGGCTGGAGATCAGGCTGCGGATGATGCCTTCCAGTGGGCTGGCGAGCGGCCCGCACTCCACCGGGTGCTTGTCGCCAAAGAGGACGCAGAGGAACCCGCGCAAGGAACTGCCCAGGTCTTCGACCATGCCTCTGTCCACTGGTAAGCTGTGGTTGGAGAAAAACATTTTTTATTTAAATGACGGTTGTGGTGCAAGGCCCAAAAAGACCAAAATGCACAGATGAAGGTTTCATATATAACATTTAATAGGTTTCTTGAATTGAGGGAGCTTGGCAAGAGAGAAGATGGGAAGGAATTACAGAGCCGAGCAGTGTAATGTACCATTTTATTGAGAGACTGTGTTATCTTTGTGTGATCTGGGACTTTTTTTATTGTTGATTTTGCTGCCTTGCCCAAGCTTGATAAACTGTAGTTAATTTTGATTTAAAGCTTTCGTGACTGCAGGAATTCATATTCCTGGTTCTTTCGGTAAAGTCACGTGACTTTACCGAAAGAACCAATAATATGTAGTTAATTTGTTTCTTATATTTATTGACTTGCTTATCACTTTCTCTATTTTGCACTCCTATCGTGTTTGTATTGTTTGCTATTGTAACTTGCTGTCCCGCCCAGACTGGACATCTGTGAAAAAGAAATTCATAGCTCATCGGATTCCTCCTGCAGTTTAAATCAAGATTTTGACAAAGATTATAAAGGAAAGAAGCAGAAATTGAAGTGTTTTTCACCTGATTGTGCTAGTTGAACACCGTACGGACGGATGGGATTACACAGTCAGTCTGCTAGACCGAGTCTTCAATATGGGTGAAGTTCATTAGGACAGTTACTAAATGTTGTAGCAACTCAGAATACTCACAAAGGCCTGTCATGCAAAATGGCCTATAACGAAGAACTGGAGTAATATTAATTATTGGAGGGAAGAGTAAAGAATAATCAATATAACTGCAATTTACTATACATAAATTACAACTTGCCAATAGTTTATTCACAAATTGTTGCTTCGACCGAATTGGGGGTGCCACGGTGGTGAGGTGTTAACTGCCTCGCCTGATATACAGGAGGTCGTGGGTTCGATCCCGACCCCAACACCTGTATATTTGGAGTTTGCATGTTCTCCCCGTGGTTGCGTTGACTTTTCTCCTCGTCCACTGGTTTTTCTCTCCACATTAAGAAACATGCGTGAAGAGCCATATGTCTGCTATAAATTGACACGCGATAAGCCACTTCGTTGAGCTATCATTTGTGGCCAGGTCACTTCTAAAAAAGAGCTCAGTAGCTCAGTGGGTATAGCTTGGTAAAAAAAAGTTTTAAAAAAATTAACCTTTTCCATGAAGTCTATAAAAATCTTTATTCAAAATTATCTCATTTAATTAAGAGTCTGAAACAGAGGATATGTGATAAAAGATCATAAAATAGGTCATAAATGCTCATTAATGGAGTTGGGCCAATATCCTAATATAGGACCATGGAACTTTGGCAATTGCCAGCATGGGTTTGGGTGCCTTCTGGGCTTTCCTGCGTGAGCCCACGTGCCTCTTTCTACAGCATTGAGATGCAACATGCATAAAATAGATACCGTACATACCTTAGTTATTATTAAAAACAATAAACAACGTCAAAATATAAACCAAGAGACAACCAAACTGGTATATGAAGATACAGCAATAAAAGCATGCAGTATGACATTTAAATGGAACTTTAAATGTCAGAAATGTCAGTTTTGATAAAAGGTTCATAAGTCATTAACAATGGTGACAACGAACGATAAAGCGTAACGATGGTGATGATATCACTACATTAAATCGCAAGATCACCACACATGGCAGCTTGAGAAAGCCTTCATCCAGCAGTGGATTGACCACGCCTGATGTTAATGATAAATGTTCATGATCAAAATACAGCCACAGAAAATTAAAGGCAAGGAGAAAATAACAACTATTATTTGTTTCCACGTGCGAAAAAGGCTCATGAAAAAAATACAACCTGCTGGAGAAAGCTTGCGCCACTGAGAAGGCGACCTTGAGCCAGCGGCTCTCCACCTGCCGGCTGAGCCTCTCCCAGAGTCGCGCTTGCCCCATGGTCCGCACGGTTTCGTGCAACGGTGCCAGGATGGTGTTCCAGCCCTTCACCCCGCGCAGCACCAGCAGCACGTCCTCCAGCTTCAGCGTGACCCGCTGCCCGTTCTGCCCTTCCCTCTCGACCCTCAGCACCGTCTGCAGGCCACTCACGAGGCCGGAGGACGATGGCTCTGGCTTGGCGTCGAGCGGCGGTGGCGGCGGTGGTGCGGAGGCGGCTCCCTGCGGCTCCGACGGGGGAAGCAGGTTGTGGAAGTGAAAGGAGAAGTTTGTGATCTTCTTGTCGGCACCCTTGAGATGCGGGAAGGCCGGCGGGCTCCAGCGAGAACCGTCGATGACTCCGAGCAAACGCAGCCCCTCGATGGCGTAGCCCACCACGTCCTGGAGCTTCACTTGGCTCTTGGGTCCGTGCTGCCTCGCTGTCCCGATGGCGGGGCTGCTGTCCGGTCTCATCGCCGACCCGTTTGTTTGTGGCACGGCAATTGTATTGTTTATCACTTTCGTACGCCCTGCTGAAAGAGCTAAGCACACGCGCGTAACAGGTTTTTTTTTTAATGATTCACTTAAAACGTTGAATAACAATTTGTAAGTGATCGTAATTACAATAAACTGTGCCAAATTAAGCACTGTAAGATACGATTTTTTTTAAGACTTACCTTTGTGATTGGTTAGGATGAGAAGAATACCAACAATGATTATCCTCGATCGAGTTGGCGCCATGGTTCGAGACAAACGCACTCACGACTCGTAGCAAAATCCCTCAAATGTCTAAATTCAGCTGGCGTTAGGAAGGGAAGTCTTAAATGGAAAAGCGGCGATATTCTGCTGCTCATTATCCTGCCAAAACCGCGGACTGGTCAAACGCAGGTCCGTCCACATTCTGTCCAGTAGCTCTCATCTCTCTTTCACTCCAATGGCAAGCATATCTCATTGTTATTTGGCCATTATAAATTATCAATGTGGCCTCTGAGCCGTGCAGGGAGCATATTGAATGTCACTGCATTGGAGAGTTTTTTTAATTGAATTAACACACGTATAAATTTAGTGAGCTCAAAGCGTTTGCAAATAGAATTGCAACATTCCGTGTTTTGTTTTGAATGATATTTTCAATGCTGTATGCATGAAGTGAATTGCAATTGCAATCGCCTATCTGCTTAAATTACATTCAGTGTGTAAAAAAACCCAGACATCGCTAATTATACTCAGTAATGTTGAAAAGTATGTGTTACATTGAAATCACTTTACTTAAAACACTGCTTTTTAGTAAAATAACTTGGGCATATACAGCACATGCTAAATATAGTAATTCAAGGCAAGTGGTAGAAAATTATATCTGAATAACATTTCATGGCAGCCCTCCATTTAATAAGAGAATGTTAATCTATTTTCATAATTGCCACAACATTTAATCATAGGGTCTCCACACAGTATTTAATTCCTTAAATGCAAATTAGACGTCTTATGGACAGTTACAATGATTTGTCATCATATTACTACTTTTGATTAGTTAGCAGATAAACATGTTAAAGACAACTGGCATTTTGTCTCAAATAATAGAATCCGATAAACCTAGATTAGACTGCAGAATAGGTTTAAGTGCTTCTGATTTACATATCAATCAGCAATACATACATTATACAAAGGCCAGTTAACTGCCAACCGTTCCGACTCAATTGCGTTGATAGAAATGTAGGGCGAGTGAATGCCACCTTCATTCATCTGCTTTTATGCTTGCTTCTGGCCGAATTCTCTTTAGAAATAGACAGCTTAGGTCGCATTTCAATTACTTATTCAGATGTAACCGAACCTAAACCAAAGTTGTACAACTCAGCTAATTGGGGTGCAGACACTTAAGGCTATAGAACATTCCCAATGTCTTTTCAGAAGGGCTATTATCTTGCAATTCTGCAATTAAAACAATAGCTCATTCCCAATTTATTTCTTAAATAGTATAACCAGAAGTGTTATATTGTTATTTTTTTGTAATAACGAAAAAAAACGTATAAGAACCAGGTATTGCACCGATGTTTTGTGAAAAAACTATTTTCTCCTATAAAAATACCTACCTGAGCATGTTTTAAAGCAAAATCATTCCTAACTAATGCCTTGCACATGCAAGACACCTTCACCATGTAATCTTCGCAAGGATCACTCAACAACACAGTTGGCTGGGAGATTGCTGTACTGATAAATATTTTGTTGATATTAACTCTTTCTTCTGTCTGTAAAATACTTTATTGACAATATCTAGGCTGCAGAAATGGACAAGTATTAAAAACAGGGTGTGCACAACATAAATGTTCAGTCCACAAGCTAGACTTACAATGTATTTATTTGATCTAAGGTGTAGCTCTGTCAAACAATCTCTCTCGTGTATGTCAATTATGTGGAAATCACACATCCAAGTTTAAGTCTGAGCCATGTGATAGTTTGGGGAGTTGCGCAACTAACGTTGCTCAGTCCGCCGGAGAGCGGGAACGTAGGATGCAGTTATTTGCGATATGGTCCACTGTCTGGCTCGGGTGGCAGCAGTCACACTGTGGCTTGTCTTTAATTCTCCACTTGTGGAGGTGTGCACAGCGACCAGTTCTGAAGCAGTTAATGGAGCATCCTAGTGTTTTTGGCATGTCAAACTATGTACGTGAAATACAAGAAAAGAGCATTCAAACACCAAGATCATATCAATTGTTAATTCGATTTTATTATTCATAGAATGCATGTTAACAAGGGACATACACCCAAACGTTAACTTCATATTTTTACTCGTGCTCCATCATTGACATAAATTTATATTTTAAACAAATTTCAAAATCAATGTAAGGAATATGTGTTTTTTTTAACTGGGGCAAAGGTTTATTTTGCAGTCTGTGCACTACAGACCAATAGTGAATTGTAGCAAAATATGACTGGAATGCAGGGTTTTTGCAGCTGATTTTTTTAAAGTGTTGATAAATAAAATAAACAAAGTAAAAGAAAAGTGATTTAAAGCTTTCGTGACTGCAGGGATTCATATTCTTGGTTCTTTCGGTAAAGTCACGTAGAAGGGAAACAATAATAAAAATATATAAAACAATAAAATTCTCACGACCTTTTTTCAAATTTTCTTGCTGTGGTTTTCACACCTGATGATGATTGCTTGTGTTGCAGTCGAAACGTCGTGAGAATTTTATTGTTTTAGATTTTTTATTGTTTCCCTTCAACCTGACTTTACCGAAAGAACCAAGAATATAAAAGAAAAGTGTTATGGCTTCAATAATCGTCTCTATAAATGTCTATAGGGGTCCAATGCAACCAAACATTGTTACAAATTACTATTAGCAGCATCTTTACAGGTAAACATACCGAAGCAGTAACAGTGAATCTAAATATTGCCACAAATCGAATGGAAATAATACATCGCTATAAAATTCAGTGTGCACCAACATTTCGACAGCCTTCAGGTACCACTAGCTCCAAATTGTGGTTGCATTTGACAATCTGTAAAGATCTACTAAAGGTTCCTGTTTCAACCGATTACTGGTGATTAAGCAATTTTCACAAACAGCACCATGAACATCTAAATTAATTTACTGCATTCAATTCACACACAAAAGTTATCAGATGAGTTTGTGATGGAAAAAAAGCATTACTCTTGTTGCACGATAAAAATGTATTCACTGTATGAAGGGAGAATTTCAAACATGAAATGGTATTTAACAACATATATCGCTTACAACTCTGCATGAGAAAATTATACTTTTGTAAAATTACACCATGAGTTGGATATTTAGACCATTAAAAAGAACCCTTTCACACAAACAAACAATATGTACAATGAACTGTAACACATGCCTACTACATATTCTTAATTACTCAGATCAAATGCCATGTTTTTGAGTGATTTACCAGAGGTAAACAATTACTGTGATAGAATACACATGAATAATATAACTCTACATTCATATATTAATTACACTTGAGCCTCCATAGACTTCCAAGCGCAAAAGAATGGTGCAAAAGTTGGCCCTACATGTCCATATGGAGTATTAGGTCAGTCTATCTTCTTATCTGAACTGCTTTTATCGTTGACCAGTTCCTGTGTCGTCCCACTGACTGTAGATGAACCTTCAGCCTGAAAAAAATTGAAGACACATGAACATGTTTCAAGTCAACTAGAATACTATTACTGTGATAAATTACCTAACCATCGTCGTGAGCCTCGATTAGCATTGTAGGTTAATATTGAAATGATTAATGAAATATTGTAGTTCAGTGTACAGTTTGTGTATGTTGACATCCAGAATCCATTGCATTAGTTGAAATCGCTTCATCAGCATTCAATAATTAGATGTACACATCATAAAGGAAAAAAAGAAGCTAATATTTAAAAGGAAATAGTACATCAACAAGATAAAAACGACAATACTTTTCCCAGCATAAAATAATCTCGGTATATTGCCAAAAGCATGATGCCCACGACCAAATCAACCGCACTGCATCCTATCTTGTAAAATATCGGAAGGAAAGCAGGGATTTATTAGCCTGGTGAGTGCTTGGATGGGTGACCGCTATGAATAGTCCAAAAAGTGTCTTAGCCTGTGAGAAAGTGTTGGGCAGCAGAGGGCAATGCAGAAGCGCCCATTGTTGTACTGTACTTCTACGTTACTGTGCAATCACCAACCCGCACTGACCAGCGTGGTGAAGTCGGGTCAAATAATACCTATGATCCCACAGAGCGGGGAGGCCATCGTGAGCAGTGGATTGACAAAAGGGCTGTAACCTGTAAATCCAAAGGGTGGATACAATTATATTCTTCTCACGGTTAAAAACCGAGAGGTCATTTGTCTGGGTACGCACAGTCTTTTTCGGGGTGTGTATGTGCGTGCGACTTACAGAACGAACCTTGTCAGTGTCCCCACCATCCAAGACTTTGCCCTGAGCACCTCCACCCGCTGTGACAAGGGCCGCCTTCTTCGGCCAGAGTCGTGCAATGAAGGGCGCCACCAGCGGGTAGACGTAAGGGTCCAGAAAGCGCTTGTAGACCCAGAGCAGGAAAGGGATAACGATGCACGGAATGCACACCATCTTTTATTCTCTTGTGGGGGGGGGGGGGGAGAAATAAAAACTGCGATTACACTATGTAACACGATTTTTGTCCCTGGGTAGTGTTATTTTTTTATTGCTTATGCCTAAAAAGTATAGAAAATGGCTATTATTCCACACAAACTTTGCTTTTGTGACTTTATGTGAAGGAATGACACAAATGCACACCACGTTTTCTCATTGAAAATAGGTACATTTCAAAATATCACTAAATATCACTGTCCTGGTGTTATCACAACGTTCAATCTACACACCGCATGCTATGCCACATGACAAAAGATTTACGATATTCAGATGTACTGTATATAACAGGACCGTATATGTTTTACTCTATTTAGTTTTTACACACGTGAGAACCCGGCAAAGTGCCCTGTTTAAGGCTAGTCGCCTGATGATGCTGGTTGTAATCACCGGCGAAACGTCATACTCTAATTGTAAATGTTTTACTCGCTCGAATTGGCACGTTTTGTTTACGTGACAAACCTTACTAAACGACGACGTCGGGTGGTGGCCGGTTTAACGACACATTTAAATGTACGCGATGTAACACACGCGCACAAAAAACCTGCATTATGGATATCTCTCGCGAAAGCCTACGTGTTAAACCGATGAGGGAAGACTGTACTGTATATGAGAAACACGTTAAACAAATCATTCGTTTCAGGAAATGTTTCTCATTGCTGTGCATCGTCAGCGGTTATCCGTCTTATCGCGCAAGAAAATAGCTGCACGCAGTTTCACGTCACAATACGTACGACGTATTTTAAGTTTCCGTCAACAACGTCCTTGAATACGACCCTAGGTCGACCCGGTGGTCTCGAGGCAATTTCGAGCTCACATTAATGAGGATCACTTTGAAATAGCGTAATCTACCAGACCATGCGTTAATTGTGTTTTAACCGACCGTCTGTGTTGCTTTATATAGTTTCCAAATTTTGCTAAACCCTGTTTGATTTAGTGTGCTCCGTCTCTCTCTGTGTCCCCTGGTGTGTCTGTGTTAATTCCCTCTACTTAAGGTCTGTATATATGTCTGCGGTTATGAGTTTCCTCTCTCACTTAAATTTAGCTCTTCTGTACCTGATGATGATTGCTTGTGTTGCAATCGAAGCGTCGTATGCTATTATATAATTATATTTTTTATTATTTCTACGTGACTTTACCGAACAAAACCAAAGAGTAATTCCTGCAGTCACGAAAGCACCTAATCAAGTTCGATCTCTTGTGAAGTTGTCCACCTCCCAAAATGTATACACTGTGCTGGACTACAGGGGGGTAAAAACCTCGGTCGGTGTACCTTTTGGCCCAACTCTTACGCCTCCGATGTACATGTAACGGGCCCCTTGCCAATCAAGTGCTGAATGAGGAACATCCCCTTCTGTAAGGCTGGCGATTATTTGACCGTAATTTAACCATGCTGATCAGCGAGGGTGGCTGATGGCCGAGGGCTTAATAATGCGGGAACACAGAAGTACTGTACAGTATTACTAATATCGACGCAGTCATAAGCACAAACGTAGCCCTGAAGACCTATAAACCTGTTGTGTGTGTATTTGGTTACCCATCCAAATACAATGAGGGTTGAATCCCACCTTGCTTCCCAGAACGGACTCTTTGCGGGATATTTTATCGTAGAAAAGTGTAAAACAAAAGAAAGGTTTATCTCACAATCAAAATATAAAATTTAAGAAAATAACATTCATAGCCAGCCATCAGCTCACCTGTCCCTCAGGACCAACACAATCTTTTCCAGCAGCATTTAATTAGCACACACCCCAAACCCTACGTCGGCTTTAAATTCACCACACACAATCAACAGAGACGCCTTAAAAAAACACGCTCTTTAATAACTTTCGTATTTTAATAGATTACGTAGCTAAGAGCTAAAAGAAAAAAACTGAAGACGATATTCTTAGCTCTTTCGGTAAAGTTACGTTGAAGGGAAACAATAAAAGAATAAAATATATATAAAACAATAAAAATTCTCACGTTCGTGTTATGGTCGAAACGTCGTGAGAATTTGTATTGTTTTATATATTTATTATTTTATTGTTTCCCTTCAACGTGACTTTACCGAAAGAGCTAAGAATATGAATTACTGCAGTCACGAAAAGCTTTAAATCAAAACTGTAGACGACACAATAGCTCCACTGTACATGGAAGGCAACCGTTACACAAGACTGCGACACCACAACACGCGATACCAGTGGCGTACGTGAACATGTTATCCTTAAACATTTTAGAGGGAAACTACAAACTACACGCGGCACGGTAACGTCAATTGTTACAAAAACATTCAAGTCACGCCATGTTCTAGAACCCGGAAACCTAAGGAACGCGAACACAAGCCGCTGACATTGAACAGGTTTGGGGTTTTTTTTCTCCACACCTTTGTTTACCAACAACTACGAGCGCACGTGGTGTTGGCGTTAAGAGGCGTTGAGAGGCGATGAGAGCGATCGCGACACTCACTCCGCGTTACTTTAAATCCGTCTCTTGTCGAACTTAAGGGACACAAGAAGCGGCGGCCTCGTCAACACAGGCGACGGACGATCGAACCCTCTCTTTGTATATCCCAGTCCTCATGAGCGCCGCGGGGGCGTTCCTCGCCCCCCCCCACCCCCCGATTGGTCAGCGAGCGAGACGCCCACCAATCAGATGTGGGTACGAGGGCACCTCTGCTAATGCGGTGTATGGAATGTAACGGCCCTATTCAGTACAGTACTGAATAAATAACGTGAACGAAACGGCAAAAAATAGTTTTTTATCAAACAAATCAAAAGGCCGAGGAATATTGTCTCGGGGTCAACACTCAACGCAAACTCTATTATCATAATTATTATCAGATAGCGTCTAGATAGTTAAGATTATTTTGCCGCGATAAATGGTCACATGATGAGCCACTTCGTTGAGCTATCATTTGTGACAGGTCGCTTCTGAAAGGCTCAGTGAGCATTATCTGGTAAGATTTTTTAAAAGTTTAGTTTTATTCGTGTATATATTTTTTAGTGATGTGTTTACCTTTCCTATATTTTTCCACTCCTATCGTGTTTTTGGTTGTTGTTGTAACGTTCTGATCTGCCCCTATTGGGAATGTGAAAAAGCGCTTTATAGCTCATCGGACTTCTCCAATATAACAGCATTCTAATTCTGGTCGACCGATTAACGCGATGACGTCACAAGCTCTCCCACGCTATGACGTCATCGAGCGTGAATACGTAGTCGAGGCCACGTGTTTCATCGGCCGCGTGCGTGCGCTTGGTGCAGCAGCCTCTCGCCCACGTGGAGCCGGCCATCCCCCGGAGTCCTGTGTGAGCACGCGGTAGCCCAGAAAGATGGGGGACGACCCCAGAGACTGAAGGTGGCAGGTTGAAATCTCGACAACAATAATTTTTGAGGCAAGGGTTGGTGGATCAAAAAAATGTCGTGAAAATTCCCGTGGGCGTTGACTCCACCTGTAACGTCTGAATGGGATAGTTTCCCCATCATACGTATGCGTTTTCTCCGCATGCTTTTTAAACATGCATTAAATGGCTGATAATACCTTAATATATAGCGGACTGCAGAGCTTGGGAAATTATTGGCTTGAGAAAATAAGGCACGCGACTGTCTTCCCTGTGGTTCTTCGCGCCTTTGCCTTCGAGAGTTGAGCGAATACTATGCGCGTTATAAGTTGAAAGAATGAAAACTGGACATGTGGCAAAGGGACAATGCGCCTAACAGAAATTCGAGTGTATATGTGTACATTCAAACGCGCGAGAGGATGCAGAGATACCCGTGGTGGAGTCAAATACCCTTGAAAATCCACGACGATAAAAGAGAAACCAAGAGCAGAGAGATGGAGAGAGACCTGAATGGACAATGAGAAAGCTGGAAGATAAAGATGGGAGGAGCGGAGAGAAAATGACAGTGAGAATAAAATACAAATCTTGATTGCATGGTTATAACCGAAATTTTCAGGTAAAAAATATGATTTTCAAGCATTTAATGAGTAAAGACGGGGAAACGCGCTAAAACGAATGCCCGTAGGCTAACATTGAGAAAACAGGATGTCCATTGACAAACATTGAAAAACTATACTCTTTGGTTCTATTGGGTAAAGTCACGTAGGTAAAAAATAAAATAACAAAAATCACGACGTTTCGGCCACAACACAAGCGGCCTTCATCAGGTGAAGGGACGAGACTGAAGACGACCGTTTGTGTTATGGTCGAAACGTCGTGAGAATTTTTTATTGTTATATATTTTATTATTTTGTTGTTTCCCTTCAACGTGACTTTACCGAAAGAACTAAGAAAATGAATTACTGCAGTCACGAAAGCTTTAAATCAAAATATTTCCAATGGTTGCTTAATTTTAAACCATCTGCTCGGTTTAAATTGTGTCTGTGTTTGTAGATCTGAATTGAAGAACTAATTTCGTGACATAAATTACCTTTATAACACGTAATGTAGAACACGTTCTCTTAAACATTAAGATATATGTCGGAGGGACAGTTGGAAAACAAAGCAGATTATCGTGTACCAAGGACAACCATTGAACACAGACCAGAATCAAATACGTCGACATGAGGCAGACGAAAGCAGGTTGCATTAATCTCTATATATATAAAAGGGAAATTTATGAATGCATGTCTGTTCGAAATGTTTAGTATACTTCCCGACATGCAACAAACTTGAAATTTGGCGTGTGGGTAGTTTCCAGACTGTACACCATGCAAAAATGCTTTTTTTTTTAAATAGACTTTTGTATATTTTTTAGGGGGGGGGGGCGCAATAATGGATATATTTTGCACGGAAAGTGAGCTAAGACGTCACATCGGCTGATGTCACCCGCATGCGGAAGCATCACGCAATGTGCCTGCTGATGCTACGCATCCCCTCCCAACCCTCCGCGAGTAAAGTGTCATACAAATGTGTTGCAGGTCTAAGGCGTTATTCGCGCACCATTGCTTTATTTGGGCCGTTTACTGCCGTACGCACCCTGAAAGTTCTCTGCAGCAAGCGCGTGTATGTATACCTATGGACGCGCGCGTGTGTGGGGAGCGGTAGTGTAGTGGTTAGCGCGCTGCGCTACGAACACGGTCAACCCGAGTTAGATTCTCGCTCACGGCCACCACCGGTGACAATTATTTGACTCAGCCTCAAACGAGTAAGTGGTGTGTGAGCATCGCCACTGGGGCGACAAAGGCGGTGAATCCAAGTCCCGAGCGAAGCAGGGTAGTAAAGCTTGTTGATGTATATTGTACGGGCAATGCTTTTTTTACCCATCCTACTACGTAGAAGGGGCGCATAACTAATTCGTAATTCACCCGCCACCGATAATCGCCATAGCCAGGAATCAAACACAAGTTACCAGGTTCAAAGTGTGGTACGTGCAAAACTGCATTACAAAAATGTAGCAAATGCCAGCGTGATTTAGAATTATTCCAGGAAACAACATATTTTGTTGGTGGAAATGTCCAACAAGCCAGTAAGATAATACACATTGCTTTGATGGCCAGATTGATGCCTGGATTATAGTTTCAAAATATACGTATAGATTTTCAGAAAAAATAGTATTTAAATTAGATATTGCTCATCGGGTTTATACAAAAGACGGAGTAATATCCAGGGAAAACGAACATATGTTGGCAGTCTTTCAGAATGAACATCGCAGTCCCAGCAGCGACATAAGCATACAGTAGATAGTTATTAAATGTTGCCATTTTCCCGATAGTATTCATGTCACGAGCCAAACATCCATTCAGGACAGAGCAGTGCATCGTATTTCTGAATGGCCAGCAGAAGATAAATAACTACTGAGATCCCTTAAAAGTGATTTATCTACACAATAGGGAAAGCACTTTCCCACATGTCCTGCTTCAGAAGAAAAGAACAGTCCATTATTCAAACGGTAGGCAAAACATTTCAAATAAAAGAATGTTCAAAAACAGATTAAATGAGATTTTCGTGCAGTACAGTATGTTTACTGGGCTCAGACCATCAACTGACTTCACGTTGAGAACCCTGTTTACTGACGGGTGGCTCCCAATCTATTTAAACCCAGGATCAGCAGTCCCAGTTCACAAGTCAGTGCTCTGTCCCGAGCCACCCACTTTCGGAAAATGCTGATTTTTTTTTTGCATTCAGAAAAAAAATATAATTACCAACCTGGTTTATCACACATCCGAATCTTTAAGCGAAAAGCTTTTAAGAATATAACCACGATCAAAAAGTTAAGTCAATTCCTGGAATTTTAATCATGTTGTAAACAAGTGTAGACCCTTTTACACCAAAAATAGGTAACAAAAGTTCAAATAATCTCCGAAAAAACCTTTAACATAGATGCAGAAAATACGAATAACTCACCAAGACGACTTTTATCCTACTAGTTTACAAAAAGTGAAACTCAACCTGTATTGAGTGTTTACACATGGGAGGAAATTGGAGCACATGGGAAAAACCCACGCGTGATGGGAAATATTGTGAAACAGGTGGAGTCCACATTTGTTGTACAGTACCACCTTCTTGCAAGCCAAGGTATATCGCCTCGACGCCCACGGAGTTTTATATTTTGTTGAAACATGTATTTCTCATCTAGTTTGTGATGTCGTTTTATTCATTGATATTTAGAATCACACTTGATTATAATGTTCATGTACATTTTAATAATATATACTATAATGCAACCATGATATTCGAAAGCATATGTGTAGATTACTTCAGAAGTATCAGTGTGAAGCTGAAGTTTATTTCATATTAAAATACCATGCGTTCTTGCAAGTCATGTGTTCGACTACATAAAACAAAAGTGTTGTCTAATCTGTAATGAATGAGTGGTATAAAGTGTAATTACATTTATATGTACATATAACAAAAGACGTTCATGTAATGTTTTCATGGATTGCAAGCTTAATATACAAACCTTTTATGTAATAAAACATGAAGTGACTGAACCTAAACTTAATTCTCGTCTCCCAATACCCCACGTCTAAAACAATTACATGGTTAAGCTTCCAACAGGAAATAATGACAAAGCAAGAAAATAAAAAGTAACTTGCGACTTTATTCTTAATTCGTTTAATAGGCCTTGTCTTACATTTTCTGATTGATGAAGTATGCTTTATTCAATGTGACTGTAAACGGATACTTGAATTGCTTATCTGATCGAATTGCACTATCAAAAAAGGCAATACATCAAGACATTTGTTCCCGAATACATTAACCGATTGTGCAATTCCTAATTTTACATCAGAAATAAAACTTGGGTAGGCTGCATTTCATTGCACGTATAGTTAGACAAAAAACACACCAAAACAGAGTAGGTAATGGAAATGTTCAACAAGTCTCATGTTTCTTGGCTGCAAGTCTCTTCATTTTGGGTCGATTCCACTCATCCAAACAGCAGCAGTAGAACGATCGTCACCGTGTTCATAGCAATAAGTGGTACTGCAACACACACACGCACACAATTATACCACAATAACTGTTATTGATATTTATAGAATAATCTACATCCCTTTGTTAAATCACTGCAGGATGAAGACTTTCGTTCATGGGGTTGTGCTGGTTGAAGGGAGTGGGGGAATTATATGGAATTGTACTCATGTAGCCAGGTTCTTAGCTGCAATACCACTACTCCCTCCTCTGAAGACATTGTTTCCCAATGGACATTTTACATGCTCAAGTAAGCGACGCAGTACTTCACTGAATATTAATGGCTTAACGACAATGGGAGGTTGCTCATTTGTGGACACTGATAACTAAAGTGAACATATGATACATTATGGGAACAGTTAAATACTGTATAATTTTTTTCATGCAGTAGACATTGGTGATTGATTTAAATCGTGAAATAACCCAATTTGAATTGTTATCCTGTGTAACCTAACCACATCAGATATATTTTCAGAATAAGTTGAATTATTGCTCCAAAGATAGATGTTATAATTAATGAATTACAAATGTAAAGTTTAATTACGTTAACATCTCAAAAATATACAACAAATTTACATTAAGGCTTATGTTATTTTCAGAATAGCTATTTTAACAAAAGTGCATAGGAGCAACACTCAGCACTGGATTATAAATATGAAATTAGGAATGAGAATAGGTTTTCTCCTTTTTATGGCAACAAAACACGTGTTAAGAATTTAAAAACCAAACTGAAACCTTTTACAAGGAATCATGTCTGCATTAACCACAATACTTGTGGTAAGAATGCAAACAAAAAACATACTATATGCATTGTCTTTGAAACTGATTGGTCCACACCAGACAGCTTTCTTTTTAACCTAGTCTCATATTTTGGTACTGGCAAAGGAGGTTCCATGATTAAATTAGGAAGTTAATTCAAGTGTGCTATCCAAGGAAGCAACCAGGTTGCAGACATTAAGCAATGACGTTAAAAAATACTTTAGAGATGCAGTACAAAACAAAAGCTAATATTGTTTACAAAATAAGCATCGAAAATTGTCTCAGTAGCTGTATTTTCAAAACTCAGTGAAAATAATCAAGGTGCAGCGTGATAGGATTACACCATTTCTCTTGCTATCAGTATTAACAATGGACTTTGGAACTGCAAGTCTTCATCAAATTCTAGACTGGAAAGCACATTTAAAAAAAACATCTGCTGTGTTGATAAAGTGTGGTAATGAGTGTCTGCTACAAATCTCGCACTGACTTACTTCGCATGAGCGTCCGGACCGACTTGATGAGGTTTATCAGTTGCGACTTTATGCCAGGTTCGTCTCCAAAGCCACCCACACTCTGCTCAGTCGCCCAGCCGACTGTCACCACACGGCAAAGCATACACACAAACACACCAATTGATTTTGGCATGTCCGACGTTTGGATCCACGGGGAGAAAGTGAACTTTGCATCAAAACCACCGCGCGTATAGAAGCTTCTGAAAACATATTGACCGTGTAACTCAACAAACAGCTGCTCCTGTTCAGATTAAGATTGTGATGAGCTAATTCAGTGAGTTTTAGGATTAACGGACATGGCTAAGGCTTATGGAGCTAAGGCACTGTAACCTCAATACATTAGAGAACACTGAAATGGCATGTCACGCAAAGCATGGCAGAACGAAATTATTTGGATGGACACACAGCACCTTCCAATTGTTACAAAACAAATACCCGTATTGGAAGAAACTGCATGACTTTGACTTGGCCACGTCAGTTTCTGACAAGTCAGAGAACGTAAATTGAACCACCTCAACAGCTTGTTGCGCAAAAAAAATAAACGTCAGACAGATCTCTAAATATCAAAGATGTTTGAGCGTGAATATTGTACTTTAAGGGCAACCACCACCGTGCACAACGCGGTGGGCAGCAGGGGGCAGTGCAGCCACCGTCCACTCTGAGCGATGACAACTGCTTGGGGAGGGGCGTCATCCAGCAGTGGATGTGCAAAAGGGCCGTACATAGTAGAGGGCATGTATATTTAAAGATTTAGTGCACTGTGCTACGAAACTCGGAGGTCCGAGTTCGATTCTCACTCGCGGGCCACCGACGTCACACCGCTAGCGAATTTCTGAACGGTACAGGGCACCCCCCCCCCCCCCCAGGTCGACTCGAGTACCCGTGGTGGGGGGGGGGGCCGAGGTGTGGAAAAACTTTTAGCATTCGGTGCTGGCCACCCAGCCCCCTCACCCACCGTACCGGCCTTCATAGGTGCTCTCGAACAGCACTCACCTCAACAGTCTTCTGTTTAGGCGACAGTACTAGATTATGGGGGGATGGGGGCTGTCTTTAGACGGAATGACTACATCGGTGTTCTTCATTGCAAGGCTCGCGGGCCACTGGCGGCCCCTGGTGGCCATTAGTGCGGCCCCCGATAATCGACATGTGAACACACTCCCCCCCCCTCCCTCGGCGTGCTCTCAAACCTCAATGGTGTCAAATGTGTCGGCCCTTATCGGGTAAAGTACCCCCCACACACACCCCGTCTGAAAATCAGTGAAGAACACTGGACTCTCTCTCTCTGGTTACCGTACTTCTGCAGGCAGTGACGAGAAGGAATATGGCAACTATATGAACACACGTGAGAGGGTCAACAAGAGGAAAATCAAAAGTTTGTTTGGGAAACATGGAAGGCGCATCCTTCTGGCACCAATCTCACGTAAGATACTGCGGCACGACTCGAGAGCGTCTTGACGCAAGACAGAGGAAAGTGGAAACAAATGACGGAAGTGCGCGGTCACATTACGAGGCAATCTGCCCCACGGATCGAGATGACTTCTTGCCACGACACCCAATACGTTAAAGAGGCCCGCGCGCGATGTCAGTCGCTCGCCGGTGGCTGCAGGGTGGAGGTTGAGCGACGTGGGCCACACACACTCCCTCGCTGCTCCTCACTCTGTCACTCACTCGCTCCTCACCCTTGGCGAGGAAGCGCTCCTCGTTGAGCACCGCCACGGCGTTGACGCAGAGCAGCGCCGCCTGGATCAGCGCGTACAGCGTGAAGGCCATGTTGGCACGCCGGTGACGTCACGCGGGGGCGGGGCGACGGCGTCACTTCCGCCAGCTGCTCGGGTTGCCGGAAGTGGAGCGAGGACCCCCAAACGGCACGTGGTGGTGGTCGGAAGTGTTCCTTTGGGGTTGGAGTGATCCGGTGAGCTGTGAAGCTCTTTGACAACGAACGCTCCATTAATCCATTAACGACGATAGGAGTGCAAAGTATGGGAAGGGTAAACAAATCACTTGAAAATTATACGTACAAATACAACGCGGCGATTTTTGTAAAAATCTTATCACATAAGATAAAAATGTGATAAGATAAAAAAAAATCACTTGGTGGTCAGAATCTTTTGAGGGCACCGGGAAGAATCCGATGAGCTATGAAGCTCTTTTTTCACAGATGGATCCAGTATGACGCCGCGTCAGCAAGTTACAAACAACGAACAATACAGAAAAAAACAATGGGAGTGTTAAATTGAGGTAATGTTAGCAAGTGACCGAAAAAATATAAAGTATAGTACAAATTTAATAAGTTAATGATGATGATGCCGCTGTGTTCGCAGTGGTGCACAAAATAACAAAAATAAACACGTATGTCAACGTTCCCTGAATATGAAATACATATACTCTACATGCGGTCCTTGGATGACATTTCCAGCAAAGGCCATTCTTTCATGTATTTTATTTCTTTGCTATGAAGGGTCATTGCACGAAACGTGGCCTGTTATATTTATTTTTGTTACTTTTTAGGCCACAGTGGTATTGAGCTACAGTGTTTTGTTTAATTGTTAATTGAATTACGCTCTCGTGTAAAATGTTAAGTTGCCATTGAAATCGTGGCAATGCCTTTATTCACCGGACTCAATGATAACAGTCCAGACGTCGCTGGTCACTGGTCCATTGAGCGTAACGTATCGCATGATGGGCAGATTGGCAGGTGGGGATATTGGTATCTCTTCTCATAAATATGATGCAGGTTAGAAAGTCCATCATTGAGACTAGACAAATCCAATGGATACGCGTATGGGGAAATGCATTCGAAGGCTACCCAGAAGGCTTGCCGCAGAAACTCAATATGCTGTGCACACATATACCTACAGAGGGCATACGGAGTGTTCCTGTGTGGACGCTGTGACACCTTCAAGCCAAACATCATCCACTCAACTTTATAAAGCGCGCCTTTTACATTAGTAATCTCAAAGCGCTGTAAATCAGAGTAAAACATATATATATGACATCGAAATAAAACCCTTGACACGCCATTAAAAACACAATCGGAAAACAATGAAATCCTGAACTGTTGTTTTTACATACTCTTTGGTTCTATTCGGTAAAGTCACGTAGGTAAAAAATAAAACAACAAAAATCACGACGTTTCGGCAACAACACAAGTGGCCTTCATCAGGTGAAGGGACCATGCTGTCACGAAGACAGCGTTGGAATCAAGAAAGTCAAGCCAGGTGGCGTCCTTTAAGCTGTGTGGGAGGGAACCAAACGCTTTGACAAAGGAATTAGCATAAAGAGCTGATCGAACACTTAACACGGGGCGGGGGGGGGAGGGAAATTTGACAATGCAAACGTTGTGTTGAAGGGAAATAAGCTGCTGTGAAAGTTTGGTATTTCACTTCTTGGATAAATATACTGTACCATTGAAAATTATATACTTAGCTCTTTCGGTAAAGTCACGTTGAAGGGAAACAATAAAATAATAAAATATATATAAAACAATAAAAATTCTCACGGCGTTCCGACCATAACACAAACGGTCGTCATCAGGCGTGTCGGTCCGCATTAATTAATTTATTTTTTTACGCTGTATTTATTCATTTATTTATTTATAAAAAATGTCAGCGCCACGCGCAGCGATTTGCTGCAGTCACGAATTACTGCAGTCACGAAAGCTTTAAATCAAAACATTGAAAATTAGTTTAATGTTTGGTATGATTTAGAACATCTTTCACTGATTGCTTAAGCTGTGTGGGAGGAAACCAAACGCTTTGACAACGGAATTAGCATAAAGTGCTGATCGAACACTTAACACGGGGGGGGGGGGAATTTGACAATGCAAGCGTTTTGTTGAAAGGAAATAAGCTGCTGTGAAGTTTTGGAATATCACTACTGGATAAATATACTTTACCATTGAAATTAGTTTAATGTTTGGTATGATTTAGAACATCTTTCCAATGATTGCTTAATTTGAAACCATCTTCTCGGTTGAAATTGTATCTGTGTTTGTAAATCTGAATTGCCTCGTGGTCAGGAATGACATCCTTCACGGATGGGATCAGATCACGAATTTTGTGTACTGTATTGAACCCGACTTGGATCTTGTGTTTGTTTAGAATTTTGGAAATATTTTTAGTAACCCCTGCTATATATGGTAGTGTGATGGTTTTGACTGGAGTATCAAGTGGTTGTTTCTGTATGGTGGGAGAAACAGCTTGGTGGATGGTACGGTCAGAGTATCCGTTTCTCTTGAGGGCCAGGTGTACATGTTTTAATTCACTGGTCAGGTGGTGTTGGTCCGAAATGCAATGAGCCCTATGGTATAAAGTTTTGATGAGATAATTCTTTTGAGCTGGGTGGTGGTGGGAATCAGGTTTCAAGTAGGAATCTGATGAAGGCCACTTGTGTTGTGGCCGAAACGTCGTGATTTTTGTTTTATTTTTTACCTACGTGACTTTACCGAATAGAACCAAAGAGTATGGATCCTTGCAGTCACGAAAGCTTCAAATCTAGAATTGTTGTTTTTACCTAGCGTCCGAAACTGCATGGTGGGATATTTCCATGAACTGGATAGACGTCAGCTTGTTACATTTTAAAACACATCACACAATTGATCACTTATAATAATAGCAGCAGCAAAAACTGTACTTTTTACACAACCCTTCAGCCTCACGGCTTTCTGGGAGTGCATATTTTCAGCAGCATTGAGACACTATAGGCAATTTCGGAACTGGTTTTGACATAATCACTCCCAGGAAATGTCATACCTTAAATATCCATTTGATTACCGTAGCTCTCACAACCAAAATATATACACCTTTAATCTAAAATTTAAATTTTCCATTTTTATTAAATGCCTCCCGTGTACACACAATTACCAACACACCCGGCATTCTCTAGACCGCCTTCAAAAACGTTTATTACTGCTATTATAATCACACAAAGTTATTTTTTCCTAATATATAATATTCACACTTCATCTTTCCACCAAACCAGGGGTTCCTCATTGTTTGACGATTGAATGAGTGAGATGATCGCAGTAATTATATAACTACGTCAATCTTCTAATTGCTCAACAACTCACACGTGCAGTTAGTACCAAATGTCATAACATTTCAAATATTTTGGGTGTTTAAAAATTGTCTACCGTACTTTTAATACGTGTAGGTTATAAACGCGCATTGATCCCGTGTTTTAACACGAGTGTTTTAATGTTTAACACAATATCGTCATGGATTCAATAATTCGTTCTATTACTGATGCAGGCAAATGCCTTTTTGTTGTTTGTCGTATTTACTTCCAAATTTAAGTTTTTATATAACAAAAACTTCAATTGTATTGCAGTAGTATGTCACTAAAATGTGATTTTCTTTACATTTTTTTCAGGTATTCACTATTCTCTGTTCATAAATGTGTCATGCACATCCTACCAACTTTACCAAATCCCTGTTGTATATCTTAGTGCCAAAATACGCAGGGGAGTGAGTCCACTTTTTATTAAAGATATAACTTTGTGCTCGATTCTCATTTTGGCATCAAATTCTTAACTCTGGGGGAAAGTAAGTAAAATCCAAACCCTGTTTCTTCACCGTGCATGCACACCCTCTTCCAGTGAAAGTGAACACATTACGGAAAAACTGAACATAGGTCCATGCGGCACAACTCAATAATGTATTTGTTCATGTAAAACTCATTGCAGCCTTATCACTTTATGAGGTTTAAGCTCACGACCCATGACCCGCAGCCACAACAGTTCAAAGGAAGAGAAAATCAACACATTCGTCAATAAGAATGGCCTGAAATGAAAAATTATGAGATGACGTTTCGGGCAATGACCCTTCTTCATGGCTATAACATTACTATGCGGCGGATAATGGTTCTATGTTGAGGAGGCAACAAAATCCGCTATGGACTTTCCAGCTTCGGGTGATAGACAACGCCTGCAGGTGGGCTAATTGATAAGTATGTGAACACAAATGCAACGTGTGGTGATCATGCTGCTCCACCACTGATGGGCTCCCACCAGAACAATTTCCCTGGGGGAGCTGCGTGTGTTGCGTGCCCCCATCTGGTGAAGAAAGCGCTAACAACGAAGCCACTGGCAGCAGATTCCAGTTTCTTTGCGTATATAACAATTACGTTTATACGAAAGAAATTAGTACGAAGGACTTTAAATGAACCCATGCTACACTACACTCCCCCGACTGGCCCAGTGTGAACTACTGTTGGTGTTGTTGGCGATGGTGGTGGTTTTGGTGTTGTTATTGTTGAGATTGGTGATGTTGAGGTTGGCGATGTCTCCGCCAGGGATGCCGCCCTCGAGGGTAGAGTCTGCTGACCAGGTGAAAACCTTGTCCTCACCATGGTGGACAGATCCACCGGGAGATCTCGCTGTCGAGAAACTCGCGCTCTTTCGTCTCAGAGCAGCCTTCGCTTTCCGCCTGGCGACACAAAGGCAGTGGACAGTGGCACAATTATTGAGTGTGCAGGCTTTCAGCTGGTTACATTTGAAAACACATCGCACAATTGATCACTAATAATGATAGCAGCAAAAAAGTGTATTTACAAAACCAATTTCTAAAGATGAGTGGACAGAGGTGGGTAATTTAGGAAACTTAGTTAATCGTTTCAATTGTCACGCCGGGAAATCAAACATATGACCTCTGGATTGCATGTCCAGTATGCTAACCGCTGCAGGAGAAGATGTTATGAAATATTTGAATTGCGCTGTAAGCTATTGTCAATTAGATGATTAAGATCAAATGTGTTCATTCGTGATCTAATGTTTCCAGTATTTACATTGTAGAATATGGCGTCTCGCCAGTACAACCACGGCAGCATCG